TATAACTTTAAAAGAGGCTATTTATTTCTCGAATCTAATAAAGAATTATCGCTACTTATAGTGTCGACGTTATCGATTTTAAATTCTTTATTTATATCTATCGCGTAGAGTTATACTTTCTTAAAGGCCTTTTTATTAACCTCGATTTAAATAGTTATTATATAGTTATTTCGATAGTAATCTTTCTTATTATAGTTATAGTATATTAATTCTCTTAATTTTAAATTAATCTTAATATTTAGAGGTATAGTAATTATAACTCTAGTAATAGATATAAGATATATATTAGTTATAATTTATATAATAATTAACTTAATAGTAGTTTTTATAAGCTCTATATCTTTTTATCTAGTATAATATAAGTTATCTAGTTTTTAAAGATATTTCTTTATAGTCTTTAAGATAGTAAATCCCTTTATAATCTTCTATAAATCTCTTAAATTTTTTTTTAATTTATTTAAAAGGTAATACTTTATTATAACGATTTTATTAATATTAAGAATAATATCTAGTCGAATAAAGTTTAAATAGAAGTTAATAAAGGGCCGAATTTCTTATTATAAAGTATATATATTACGTTATATATTATTACGTTAATCTAAATTCTTATAAATATTAATTAATTTATTTATAATCTTAATAATAGATTAATATAGATTAGTAAAGTTTTGAATTTTTCTATATATAGTATATTATATAGTTTTATCGCCGAGTTATAAGACTACGTAGACTATTTTAAAGTTTTTAATAAGATAATAATCGCTATTAATTCTAAATTTCTATTCTATTTTAAAGAATTAGTCGTCTTAGATAAAGTTAATATTATCGATAAATAGAGATAAATTTAAAATCTTAATTAATTTCTCTTTTAAACGTCTAGAAGTGCGTTCTTCGTCGATTAAGAGTAGTTATAAATCCTTTATTAATTATAAATTAAGATTATTAACTTTTCGCTATAAGAAAGTTATATTCTTTTAAAAATCTCGAGTTAATTAATTTATCTTTTTAGTTATCTTATAGATCTAAAATAAATTATTTATAGCTAGATTCTTTTCTATTATAACGATATAATATCGAGTAATAATCTTTCGAAAATTATCTCACTTCTAATGAATTTTATTTAATATAATTATAAATTCGTCGAGTTAGTATTTAGTCTAATATTATAATTATAAACTATTAGTAATATTCTAAAGTATTTCTATCGAGTTTCTATCGTTAACTATATTATCTAATAAAACTAATATTTATTAAAATTTAATTTACTTAAGTAAGATCTTAATTTAATTTATTCTTTCGATATTAAACTTTATTATAAAAAAGAAGATTTTGAAATAAAGTGAAGAGGAGTTTAAATGCTTTAAAAGAATAGGTATTAGAGATATTAGATGTATTAGAGAATAGTAAAGTTTCTTTAAAGCGCGTCGAAATTATTCGATATTAAGAATAAAAATTTTTACTATAAAGCTTAAGAAATGTTTCTTTATCGGGGTTTAATATACTTATCTCTTAATTATTTAAGATGTTAAGAAGACTATAAATACTTTAAATAGTATTCTTTCGAATATACTTACTTCGCCTAAGGGGTTTATTATTTTATAGAGAAGTTATATACGAGAAAGCTTATAAATAATATTTTAATAGTATTTTAATAATATTTTAATAGTATTAGCTATTTCTTTTAATTCGCTAGCTATATAAATGATTTAATATCTTATTTATCTCTCGATTACTATTTATCGAGTTTAATTCGCTCTGAAATCGAATTATCTATCTAATAAGTTTATTTAGAAATATAATAACTTAATTTAATTTCTTATTAAAGTCTCTATTAGCGCGTTTCTTTAGATTTATTCGCTAATATAAATAAAATAAGTAGATTAATCTTAACTATAGTATTAGAATTAATATAGATATAATATTAATATAAATATTTTAAATAAGATAATTAAGATATCGAATTATATAGATAAAAGAAAGATATTAAATAGTAGATAAATATCTCTACTAAGATACGCTAGGCTCGAATAGATAAGAGAGCTAAGTAATATATTAAGAATATAGAGTACGCTCGTAATATCTTTAATTAGTCTTCTTATTTAAGCGTCTTCTCTTAAGAGTTCTTAATATCATAGATCGATATATAAATAGACTCTACTTCTTCTAAAGAAATTAGATTATCTCTTTCTATATAGTCTATAGCTAATCTTCGAGATACTTAATAAGAAAGTCTTCGGCGGTTAAGTGAAGCTTGCGAGGGGTATCTTTAGAGCGAAACTGTAGCTTATAGGCCGAGCCATATATAAAGAGACTTTCTTAAATATTATAGACTGTCTGTATATAGTAGTAAACGTCTTAGGCGATAGTATTAGATCTTCAATATAGAAGTAGTAAATAAACGATTCTAAACCGAATAGGCGGAGGTAAGCCTCTTTTATCGATCGTTGCGAGGGGTATTTCGAAATAATAGAAATTGGCTAAGCGAGATATATAGAAGCTTTAAATATGATGAGAAAGGTGGTAGAATGCGATATGGGAGAAGATTCATCTACTTAGTACTACTTTTGGTGGGGTGTGTGTGAGAATCTCAGTGCTAAGTATTCCAACGTTTTCTACACACGCTAATAGATCACGGATCCTCTCCTTTGCGATTTGAGGTCACTATGACAACTTACCGAATCATGTCCCAAAATTTGGTGGGAGGGTATAATCGGTGAATAGGGGTATAACTCGCTAAGAATTCTACAAATGTGAGTACGAGATAGTAATCTGCCCCCCCTGGAGCCAGGTTCGTACCCAAATCCGTGTAAAACATCAGAGTACCTGCTTACAGTACATGTGCGTTAAACTTCAAGACAGTATTGAGGTAACACTAAATAACCGTCATGTGAAAAAAATATTGACAGCTGTAAGGGTGCAATTGTACCGTATACAGACAGACTGCCAATTGAACGTCGTCTTCGCGTATGTACTGCTGAATATAGGATCAGCACTGTGAGAGAAAGGCTTTCGGGTCACACGCTGTAGAAGTGTTGAAGGAAGCTCTGCTGTCCTATTTATTCATTGTTAAGAGAGAGAGAGAGAGATCTCGGAAGCAAGGAGTATTCCAACCTTTTTAAGCGGCGAGGGGCGCAGTGGAGTCTGCTAATAGTAGGAAGAAAATATCTGACGGAGATGCAGAGACAAAAATTAAATAAGTGTTTGGCGGACAAACAGTGGATCCGAGGATTCTGAGGGTTTCTTGTCCCTCGACTGTCGGCTTTTAGATGCCCTGAACTTTATCTTTGGCCTGAATCTCGAAGTGTTCTCAATCTCATAATCGAAATGAGCGAACGAGTATGCCAGTAGTGCTGCTACAGCACTCAAAGAGTTAAACTTCACTACCTGCTCGAATCCGACAAGTGGGGATGCGCTGAAAGTGCAGCGTTATCGCACGGTGTGGGCAAAAGGGCCGAAATCAAAGAGCTAGACGTACGAATTGTAGGTACTATTGAGGAGACAATTCGACCATTCCTTGCTGCTGGTTTGGGGAACGTGGAATTTGTTGCTAGAGTATAACAGATGCGTGACACAAATGGAACGTATAATAACCAACGGGCAATACTGCAGTCCTTGCTAATTATCTCTATCACATGAAAAATGGGCAAAACCTGACAATGTGGCTCGCCAACCGAACGCTTCAGATATACGCATCAAGACTTATGCAGAGTGACTTTGAGTCCTTGACGATTTACGACATAGTTGCGTACTAGCATGCTTATCGTGACCTACAGCAAGAATGATTGATCGCGTACTGGCGCGTTGAATACCTGGGAGTAGCGACAATACTAGAACGAAGAAATGAAGCGACCCACGTCACACAGTAGCCTTCTTGACGGGCAACAATGTCCACATTTCGATGAGATCGTCTACAACACTTCGTCTGCCATCAGGAGTATCTGGATCTGGATCATGATTGACTCCCTTTACACATTGTGTCCCATAATCAAATGTCGTCATGATTCGTTCCTTGAGACGAATCGGACTTCCATCTTTCCTCCTTTTCGTGCCTCTCAGTTGACCGAGCTTGGCTGACTCTGCCGTCGCCGACCTAGTCTCTGTATTCCTGGGTCGAACGATCAGGCGTTGTTGCTAACTTTGTGGCACTGGGAAGAGTAGGGTTGTGAAGAACAAGGCCTCCCAGGTCACTGCTACTCCTGGTGCGCTTCCTCGCTAATCTTGCAATTGGAGTGGATGACTCCGTTGCGCTGACTGATTCTACCGCACCAGGAAAAGTGTCTTCTAGGGGTTTATCGTCTAATGAAGCGAGTCTGCTGGAAGTGTAGTCCAAGTTAGTATAGCCATCAGCTTGGGATCGTTAGTCCAATGTCTTAGGAGAAGTCCATAGGAGAGGTGAAATAGCTTCAATAGGCGTTGCTGCTTGTGGCATCGAACAGTCATAGCTCGGTTGAGCTGACGCGGCCGCAGTAGTTGCTGCGGCTGCTTGAGATAGCAGGAAACTATCAAGAGCTTCCTTTTGCCGGTCTTGTGCTTGCATTTGTGCCAGCTGCGTATGATACGATGCGTGCCATTCGTCCACCGATGTGTCCGCACCTTGAGCTGATAGTGATGTTTCGCCAAACATTCTCGGGTTTGGGCTGTCTTCTCTTGGAGTCTGGTAAGTCCAGAGAACCCTGCGCTATCCAGCTTGGCTCAGCATAGGTCTGAGGCACGTCTCGTCGCGATTGGGAGCCAAAGGCTAAGGCTGAGTGCGACATTGTCGGTGCTGCTGATGGTTGTTCGCTGCTATTCATGTACGAATGTTGCTGTGGATAAAAACCCGCACTTTGCACAAAAGGTTTTGGATTAACAATCGGAGGCGCCATCATGCACTGCCCTACGGTATCTTGACGTTGATATTGCTTGACCCTCTGTTGATTCTGCCGCTGCTGAGCTTGGTGCAAGTGTTTCTGGAGGCCGCTTACAAGAGGCGCGATAGGTTTCGCCGCCATTGAGCCCCATCAACGTTGGTCGGGAGTATCTAGAATTTTCATTTCGTGCTTATACGTCCGCAAGATCTCGACCTTGACTCGATCGCGGCTATCAACTCGAATGTCGTACTTGAGTTCGTCGACCTCGTTGAGTAGGTTATTGACGAGGCTAATGTAGTGCTTGAGATGGGAGAAGAGTTCATCTTCTGCCGGCTCATTGTCTTGCATCTCCCGCTGCGGTTTGGTGTCATTCGGTTCCTGCTTCACAGGCATGTTCTGAACACTGATACTAAGGAACATATCGCCTGTGTTCATGTGTGGTGCATGGGCTTCTTGTGGGTCGCTTCCCTTTCTAGGTTCACCACGCTGAGAGTTTACCTGTGGCTGCTCCTGTAGGTGCCAACCCATCTCTCTGCTAGTCCCACCCTTTTGGGAATATGACTCTTTTGTGCTTTGATTGTCTTCGATCCCCAGCTTCAAGCTCTCGAAGTTGCGTATGTAGTCCTGATTGGACCTCGCCAAATCTTCGATTAGGGATCTCTGATCTTTGATCACTGAAGAAGGCTAAGATCTATCATAGTATTAGCGAAGACCCATTATTGGATTAACAACATCTTAAAAAACCAGGTCATACCTTCCAGCAACTTGCCTAGCATAGGTAATGACATTCAGCATACAACAACGTACTCTTCCATCTATCTAAGTTGTCCTCAGCAACTGCAACTTTGTCTGTAGGTATGACCACTTGACTCTCTCTAGCAGCACCACGGCTTTCGGTCTCCTTTCCCGGCCTAGCTCTCAAATTTGGCATCTTCTTCACCAATATAGTATCTATCTCTTCGAAAACCTCCAAAACTCTTTCACGACCTTACCAGCGGTCTGCACTGCATTCTCCGAGACTATCCGACTCGATTCATCTTTATCAAGCAACGATCCCAGCTCTTTGAGAACGGAAGAGGTGAGGGATACGTCTTTGGATATGGAGATGACGGATCTATCTGCGTTCGAAACAATTTCACCGAAGGTGTAGAGCTTGATGCTTAGACGTAAGCCAACGTCAGCGATTTGGACCACGGATGCTATAATGCCGAGTTTTGCCATGCTGGAGGGCTACTTGGAGAATGCAAAAATTTTGCTCAAACACTACTCAGGTGTGGTTTGGAAACCCATTCCGACATAAAGCTTTGTTTTGACCAGTCTATACAGAAAACCACCGTCAATCAAAGCACAGCAAAGAAGAGACAGGCGAACAGCCTCATTCATCGAAGTTAATCACTCCAATGGTGACGATAAACTATGTGCGGTAAGAGAAGATGCTTGAGAGAGTCTCAGAGAACCCTAAGAGTGATAGAATATTGAGCACAGCCTTGCAATCGTCCCTCCGCCACAATATGCTGTAACATTGTTGCAGCAGCTTACCCTTCCCCCTCCGCCACGTTACCAAAGTCCGAAGAGTTTGGTGATGGCGACCCAGAGAGAAGTCACGTCCACGTCTTCATCCGGCTTTGGGACAGCATCAGACTTCGCCTACCACGGGGTGACGATAGCGCTGACTTCGCGCATCAGAGCCTCGAGCTTGATGACATCAAAAATTAGAGAGCGGCACCAGCGGGGTTGGTTCAATCACTCTTCCCCCAATTTTTTCATCCCAAGACCTTGGGGATTCATTTTCCATGTTGAGCTCCTGACGCTCGAAACGCTGGAAATCGTCCGAGAAAACCCGCGAAGCTGGAAAAATCGACCCTCACTACTTTGTTCTTCACATTACAACCGATACTGTGCGACTCGGGCTATACCGCAACAGCGCTGCTGTGATCTACCTACGCATGACACTGGCCACTTCCTCTCACATAACCGTAACGACCACTCTGCAGCATTTGAATGAGTGAGAAACGCGAAAGCACTCAAGTCAGCTCCACATGATAAACCTCCCTCTTCACCAACCCCTCCGCCCCATCCAACACTCCCACCAACCCCTCCCCCGCCTTCCCCTTCTGCGCCCCCCACCCCTCCCACCCCACCGTCCCCATCCACGCCCTCATCTCCCCTTCCAACCCCTCCACCTCCATACCCTCCACAACCCACCCACCATGCACATCCCTCACCCCCTCCACCTCCCTCCCCCACCCTCGTCACGAATCCCTGCCATGTAGATTCCCACTTCTCCTTTTGCTCCGTCGTGATGGCGAGGGGGAAAGTAGGCCATTACGACCTCGGTGACGGGGGCCTGTAGGGTCTTGGGCTGCGCGGGGTGGAAGAGGACGTGGATCGGGATCGGCGGGACGGCGCAGAGGGAGAGCAGTTGGGCGCGGAAGGCCGGGAAGTGGGGCGTGTCGTAGAAGGAGAGGTGGTCTGCTTTGCTGTCCCAGTCTGGGGTTCATTCGCGTTGGTGTAAGCAGGCAGACCGACTGAGGGGGATAAAATAGGGGGCTGGGGTGATGAGGCAGGCTAGGTGCTAGGGAAATTGGCAGTCGAAAGGGTACGGATGCTCATATCTTTCGACAAAATCAACTCCAGCGAGGATCTCCTTGCGCTGTTGAACGCTTTTTTTTTTTTTTTTTGGAAATGGACTAATCACTGACGAGACGGTCCTTCAAACTGATAACCAAACTCAAAAGATTTCAACTTCTCAAACAGCCACATCTTCTGACACCTTGCCTGGGGCGAAGAAAAAGGGGGGGAAGGAAAAGAGGCATTTACTAAGAAACATGCGGGCTTTGCTCCTATCCTCGACGACGCTACTGGTGTAAATGTCTCGGAAGCCGGGACATTTTTTCAGGGTGGAGATGGAGGATGCCCAGATGGCACCTTCGGGAGTGGAGGGGTCTTTGAGGTCGTACGGGGCTTTGAGGTCGATGATGCAGACTTCTGTGACCGGGATTTGGGACATTTTGGGGGGATGGGGTTTCACGGTGAGATTTCCTGTTGTTCTGATGGAGGGATATGTGAAGACACAATGGGAGAGAGTTGTCCGTGGACAAAGGTCGTTTGAGCCGCGATATGCCCCTACGGCATCGGTAAGCGGTTCCAAAGATGCATAAATATTTCTCAGCACACAGGGTACTACGAAAGCATCCGTTCATGGGAACAACCCTTTTGGGAGAGCATTCGTACTGTCCATTGGCTGCAAGACTGTATGGAGACATTATGCTTTGCAAAGTTCGCTTACCAATGCTTTGGTAATATCGAGCTAGCGCATGACCCTAACAGCAATACTAGCGCAACTGACTCAGTGACTCGAGCTCGGCGACACGCATCATGCATTGAGATGGGTGCAGTGTGCAATAGTGTGGCAAGGAGAAATCTAGCCGCAAGTGGAGAAGTCGACGAGGAAAGGGTCCCACAGTAATGGCAATGCATCGCCAGGCTGCTAGAGGCTCCAGGTAGAACAGCATATCCAACGAGACCCTGAGAGGGTTGCTGAATGCCATACACAACATACTACACCGTATCATATTGCCTTCTTTGTTTGAGCAATATCTACGTGTCAGTGCATTAGAGTTCATCAAATGGGTCCGGCTCTGGGTCGGATTCCTCGCATGAAGCCTGGGTCCCGCAGAACTGACCGGGCTCAAAGTCGAACTTCTCTTCGAAAGCCCTGCCAATCTCTAAGGTAATGGGAAGTTTGCCATGGGAATGCTGGCTTGCGACTCCAAGGTCCTTATCTGCGACAGCGTCAGCTAGCGCCAATGAAGCCGTGTTAGCCGATGAGGATGGCGGACTTACTCGCAACGACCCATTCGACGCCCGTTTCCTCCATATCTGCGGCAAGCTGAACTTCTTCCCATGTATCGTTCGGCTGACAGAGACCGTGCCACGTTATTATTCTTCTGAACCACGGTGTCTTGGACCCTTGAATCAAACGGGCCCGTTGCTCGTCCTCCTCGTCGAGCAATACTTCGGCTTCTCTTCGGGCTCGAGCAGCACCAAGATTTGCATTGGTACCCCCGCCAAAAAGAGATGACGTTGTTGTTCCTCCGCTCTGCGCCTTGGCCGTCGCAATAGCTTCCTTGATGCGGCCAGTGCGGTGTTTCGATCTCTTCTGTCTACGACAAGCTTGCACAGTCTCCCCAATTGCGTGGGTATCGAGTTTTTCATGACCTTCGATTGCGCCCCCCTCCGTTCCAAGGCCAGTCGTGATACCATTATGTCTCAAGCTTCCTATCTCGAGATCATCAAAGAAAAGCTCACGACAGACTGTAGAAGCAGCATATTCCAGATGGACAAGCTTCTTACTGAAGTCTCTAATCAACGGGCACAAGTGCGGACATTCTGTAGCGTCGTAGCCGTGGTAATCTCGATCATCGTCCCAACAGAGAAGTACAAGATGCTTCAGATTGGGCGGTGCATGGTAAAGCAACTTTGAGATTGTTTCGTAATCAAGATTGCAGAACCGGAGCTCAAGCTTTGCCAAGTTCACAGCCACCGAATCTGGATTACCAAGCAATTGCATGAGCAGTGGAGAGTCAAGCTCAGGGGGGACATTCAAGCACAATGCTCTCGAACCTTTTCAGACCTTTAGTTGGGCCTACTATCTGATCTGCTCTCAATGGAGTGTCCACGAAGTTACTGTTAAGTCTGCCGCCAGCAATTCCACGAGGATTGCGCATATTATAGCTGCCGTAATTGGTCGAGACGTTAGTGTAGCGCTTCTGCAAGTCGAGACTTGCATGCATAGGTGGACTGGTTGCCCAGTAGTGACGTATTTCGAGATTCAAACAGTCTGGGAATGAAACGCCGTTGACCAAAGGACGCCAGAATTTGGCGTTCGGTACGCAACTTGTATGAGCGCGGCCATGGGTTTCCTGTGGGTCGTGTCGTCCAACATAGAGGATGAGCTTGGTAACTCGAGGGAACGTTTCACTGTCAAGACCTGAGACGGGTGTGGATTTGCATTGGCAATGTGCAAAGCCAAGGGTGATTGCTAAGTTGGGACATCGCCGAACGATAGCTTGGATGTAACGCGAGACCAAGATGGCCGCTGGAGGCTGGTCATTGTTTCTTGCACTATCTTTAATCTGGTCGATTGTAAGATCCAAGGTCTTTGTTTGATCCAGGCACTCTTGGGTTGACCACTTGTGATCTGCCTTTCCCATGTATGTTGCTCTGGTAAAGGTTCGAGAAAGAAGCGTGAGGGACGTGGAAGATGAGACATTGGGATGCCGGTAGAGTATTGGGCGGAAGAGCTGGTAGGTGGCTTTGGAAGTAGCTGAAAGTTTTGAAACTTCCTGTTGCTGAAGAAAGGTACAGATGTAAGATCTATAAGTGCCAAATCAGGATCAGGCTGCAAGGGCAGTGTTCAGTGACTTACGCTATCTCAATGGGCAGCTCCCCGAAAGAAATAGCTTCTCTCATTTTGATCGTTGCAATTGGAACCGACGGACTGTTTAAAGGCTGTGAGTTGTTTGGGATTACTACTGAGGTAGGATGAAGCTTCTCAAACATACCTAAGTATGTAAGGTAAATATGACTCTACACTTGCGGGGATATATTATAGCTCCCGTCCCGGCTTACTTTTAGCGGCGGGTAGAGTATTCGTCATCCGCCTGGAGTTGAGCCGCATCAATCACTCCTTATTGGCTTTGAGAAGCGAGAAAAGCCCCTTCGTTGTCTGACGTCTGGCATTTGGCATCCTGCCCTCCATGCACCAAAGTGATGTCTGGCGACGTGGATAAGAGATCGTCGCATTGGCGGTATGGGATCATATTCGACGCGGGTTCCTCTGGTACCCGTCTACATATCTACAGATGGCTCGACAGCGACAAGGCAAGAAAGGAAGCGGGAGTGAAGGAATTAGAGTCGCTGCCTGTATTGGAGACTAAGAGCAAATGGACAGAGAAGATACATCCTGGTATTGCGACGTTCGGAGAGAAGCCCGATCGTGTTGGGCCAGACCACCTGGAAAGCCTATATAAGAAAGCCCGCAAAGTCATTCCAAACGGTCTTGAGGAAGACACGCCAGTATTCCTGCTCGCCACGGCTGGCATGCGCTTGTTGCCTGAGAACCAGCGTAACGAACTTCTGCGGCAGGTTTGCTCCTACACTCGTTCAAACACCAAGTTCCAATTACCAGAATGCGATGTACATATACAGGTCATCCCCGGCGAGGTCGAAGGTCTGTACGGATGGGTCGCCGCGAACTATCTGCTCGGAGGCTTTGACGCGCCGAAGGATCACGCACATGGGAAAAACCATCATACATATGGCTTTCTCGACATGGGCGGCGCCTCTGCGCAAATTGCTTTCGCCCCAAATGCAACGGAAGCTGAGCGTCATGCGAATGATCTCAAGCTGCTCCGGATGAGGACTATTGATGGGACAGCAGCGGAGTATCGAGTCTTCACCACCACGTGGCTCGGTTTTGGAGTCAATGAAGCCAGGAGGCGATACGTTGAAGCGTTGCAGAAGGCTAGTGGTGCCATTGATACGGAGGTCCTCCAAGATCCATGCCTTCCCGCCGGCTTAAGCGTTACTACCAAGGGGGATGTTTTCCTACCAGGGTCAAAGACAATCAATGGACAAACCCCTCATCTGAATGGGACTGGACAATTCGACAAGTGTTTGATGATGACGCTGCCTCTTTTGGAGAAAGACCATATCTGTGAGGATAACCCTTGTCTTCTCAACGGAGTACACGTCCCTGCCATCGATTTTGACGTCAACCACTTTGTTGGCGTCAGTGAGTACTGGCATACCACGCATGAGATATTCCAGGAAAGCCACAAAGACAAAGCATACGATTTCAATACATATCAACAGCGAGTCAGCGAGTTCTGTAGCCAGGATTGGGATATCATTCGCAAAGGGATAGACAAGCACGAGTGGGGGAAGAAGGTCGATGAGCAGACCGCTATCGAGGTGTGCTTCAAAGCTAGCTGGCTTATCAACATCCTCCACGAAGGCATTGGAATCCCGAGAGTGGGATTGGAGGCAACTCCAGATAGCATGCACAATGGTACGATGAAGGTATTGGATAATGCAAAGGACAAGGGCTTTACAGCTTCTTTTCAAGCAGTCAACAAGATCGATAATACAGAAGTCAGCTGGACTCTTGGCAAAATGGTCCTATACGCATCCAGCCAGGTCCCTCCATTAAGAAACGACGCCCTTGCTGTTGGATTTGGTAGCAATATACCCGGTATCCCCGCAGATTTCCAATACGCCGGCTCCGCAGCGGTCCTCCGCACGGAGAACTCCACTTCTACGGAAGACCATTGGCACTCGAATCTTTTCCGCGCATCATCACCACGCCGCATACCTGGCTTCATTCTCTTCCTTTTCATTCTCTCCATTGCGCTGTACCTCCTCTGCGGTCGTTCCCGCCGTCAACGTATCTATAGCAGGTTCGGCTCTTCACCGCGGCGTGGCCTCGGCTCACCACCACGAAAGCGTGGACTATTCGGGGGCAAAGTCCCGTTTTGGCGCTCCAACACGAGTCTAGGCAACTACGAGCGCGTACTCGAAGAAGGGGCAAATGACAATTTCGAACTCGGTTCTGTGGACGACAGCGACGAACCTGAGACCTCAGACTCCTCCTCTGCGTCCCACGGAAGCAAGACATCGGGGTGGGCTACCCCTCGTAGTCGAAACAAAAACGGTCTTGATGGAAGAGACCCTTTTGATAACCTTGGCAGCGGTCAAGGTCTCGGCATTACTGGCAATCCTATGGATAGAAGTGGGTACGTACAATTGGATTCAAAGGGAGTCCCCCCCGTTCTGTACCGATATTCTTGTCTCAAGAGATATTTACGGGGCGATCAACGCTTCTTACTTCTTAACTTTGTCTATGATTTGCCCCCAAGTACCAACGCTAATTCGAAAAATCTGGGCAGGTTGATCGGTCGTACTGAAAGTAAGGAACGCATAGCCGGCATGGCTGAGGGTAGAAAATCCAGGAGAGGCAGCCCAGCGAGGCCAAAGGGACTAGGATTGAAACCTTTGGTTGAGGATTGAGTGAAATCCTGAGGTCCGAAGAATCACATCCTAAATGAATTGAAAAAGACACGGCTAGCGAGCAGACTCCAAGAGCAAAGTGAACCACCGCCCGCGCAATTACCATACCGTCCAGCGAAGTCGCAGACCCAGGTGATTGTGCCGAAGAGCCACCGCCGTTCCTAGTGCATCCACTGAGAAGCTGGCGCGGGAAGTATTGGTCCAAAGGGTGGTTTCTAAGGCTCCAGTGCTTAGGGACAAGGTCCATTGTTGGCATCTTAGGAGACATTGCAACGATACAGATCATGTTGTATCTGACAGGGAAGGCTGCAGGATTCCCAAGAGGTGGAATAGGCTGTATGGTTGAGGCGGTCGTGTATACTGGACTAGGGCCATTTGGGACTGGTGGCTGAATATCCTTATAGACTTAACTCACGATTTGACAACCTCCAAGTCTCGCAGTCTCGTCAACCACCTCTTCCTATCAGGAAGCTATCCTCATAAGCTCATACAGAAATATTAGGAACCTTCAATTCTAGTCTCTCCAGCGCCACAGCGTCTGAGAGTACTCCTTGCTGACAGCGCATGTTGCTGACGTTGCATGTCATTCTTCCCCTCAACGATCGAGGCAAGAGCCGACCTCGAATGGCTGGTAGGAGGGACCATAATATAGCCAATTCTGGCAATTCTTCTTGTACGACTCGCATTATCCTTCTAAACCATATCCAGAATAACGAAACCGCCAGTCTCTCCCCATCGCATCTTTGTCTTTTAATCATCCACGTACTATATCTCAGAGGTTTAACACATCGTTTGCAAACCATGAGGGACTTGAGAACATCTTCCACCCTTTCATGTGCGCTTCCATGTACGGACCTGAAAGGATACAACCCGCTTTCAAACACAGCAGCGTTGCAGAAGATGCACGAGTCGTTTTGGTCGCAACGCTCATATGGAGAGAGAGACTAATCAGGTAGCGGCTCAGCGCCTCACAGAGTCAATTGCGACGGCTGAGAAGAAGAAGGTAAACCGCACGAGATGAAAGATGATCAAAAATGAAGGGGCGTAGGGAGATGACTGATGGAGCGGCCCTACATAGGAAAAGATACACTCTGGAACAAGAACTCTTTGGCGACAAGACTCCTGATCGATACTACGGGAAGCCAGTTTCAACGCCCAGCGGTAAAATGGGTAACCCGACATGGATCCCCCACGACCTTTACACGTCTCTCTCGCCCCTCATTCTCATCCGTCATCCGGCTCGCATCATCCCATCTTTTCCACCGCACGCAGGCAGGCAGACGTGTTCAAATCGCAAACCACAGACGAAGAAGATTTCGCAACGTTCACCCGTCTCCGTATTTACGGATCATCGGTGATTCTTATCGCGAACTCTACGCTGAGAACCACAATCTCGTCCACCCGTACTCCAGCTGCGGTACGATCAACAGCAAAAAAAGAAAAAAACCCCCCCATCTGGTCATTTGTAACAGACGCCGAAGACGTGGTACACAGCACTCAAGCCATTGTCTCGAAGCGTCGCAACATCTGGCACACCGATCCGCGCGGGGTTCCATATCCATAAAAAACCAATCCAAAAGAAAACCGACCTAAAAACAGACAAGATATCCCATAGACTCCTCGACACGCATCCAAGCTCCACGAGGGTGCCACAAGGGAGGGAAAAACGTACGCTCCCATCCCACCAAAATCTCCACCGTAGCCCCCGCTTGGTTTCAAAAAGCTTTACCCGAGTGCCTTTCTTTCCTCTCGGCGAGCGCGAACGACCCGTCTTTGGACATACCCATGTTAGATGGGGAAATGGCCACGTGGACGGCGGAATCCGGAGGGGAAGAAGTCGCTGACTGATCGGAGGCGGCAGTGGCTGCGATGCACGATTATGAACACTTGAGGAAAATTCTGTCCGTGTGCGTAATCGATGGTGTGACGAACATGCGAAGTATCATGCCGTCTGCTGCATTTCGGACTACGATGACCTCAACCCTTCACGGACGCTGCTGTCAGGAGGGTGACCTTTTTCCATCGACCCGAATCTAAGTGTAGATTTGCTGTGTCAGATGTGGAGAGGCGCCCTGGGTGCCTGCACGATGATTAAAGGGGTGAATACCGCCTTTTGACAGTCTCTCTACCGCACTCAGACATGAACCAGGACCACTACCGGACAGATGTCGCAAGAAAGAGGGCGCGGCGCGAGATGGGAGGTTAGGATCCATGACCGATGGACTTAATTTTTGCCTAGATTGCAAATCAGCATCAGACACCACTGCTGTACGAAGGTGGAGCTGGCTCTGGGAACAGCTGGCTGATGTTCTGGGTTCACATGATACGGGGGACGGAGATGGCTTCTAGCTTCCCCCGTGAGGATGGCGCTAGGGATGGTGATTTGTCCATGTCGGTGCTTAAGGGTGTGGAAGTATTGAGCGAAGTATTTTGGATAGGTGCGATCCTACCTCGACGGAAAAGGCTGGGTCAAAGTTCCTCGAACAGAGGCAAGCTTGCGGTATCAACGCCGAAATCATAGACCGGTTGACATCGACGGGGAGGGCTTTCCCCGCTGTGGTTGCGAAATGGTGAAATTGACGCCTCGAGCTGGCAGATGACTTTCTTCACAACAAGCAAGAGGGGCATGATATCGAGAAAGCTAGCTAGGTACATCTTGCCTACGATCCGGCACCTCAAAACTGCCCGCCAACATAGTTCTGCGTAAACCCTTCCTCCATGCGATCCAGATCCATGAACTGCGCAATATCACCATCGCTCACCCCCTGCACCTGCTGCCCTTGTCCTCCGCTCCCCTGAACACTCGACTGAGCCGCCAATTCAGTCCCAGGCTGAACCGCCATCGTCACAGATGCTTGCATGCTCGACGGATTGGTAGCCGGAAATACGTTCTCCTCCGCGGGCCCATCTAACCCCCTACTAATCTTCGTTCCAGCCGGAACAGCCTGGTCGAACGCCTCGAGGCGGTTACTGAATCTCTTGCCCGGTTTCCCGGGCGCGCTGTTCGCGTCACCGCGTCCATTGATCCAGGTGCCCACATCTGTAATCTCGCCACGCTGGACGTCTTGTTGGAACGCCGCTGCACCGTGGAGGATAGGTAGCAGGACGCTCGACTCGTACCAGCGGCCTTTGATCTCTGTGATTTCGAGACGGTGTGCGGCTTGGATGATTTGCCAGTAGGAAATTGTGCGCTTGGAGGCGATGGAGACGCGATTGCGGTATTTGAGGTCTTGGCGGAGACGCATTGGGAGGTTGGGGTTTTCGGCAGGCTCTTGCCCGACGGCGTACGGGATGGTGGAATAGCGATAGATATCACCAATGAGATAGACGCTTGCGGAGGCAGAGCTCGTGGAGTTTTGTTTGAGTTTTTCGATTATTTGGTGGATGATCATCACGTCGTGGCCGTGGCCGACGCGGAGACGGACCGGCTCTCCAACCCAGAGCTTTTCGCCGCCAAAGTAGATACCATTGTAGGAGCGCTCCCCTGTAGTTGTGGTGTTGTTGCTCAGAGGGTCGATGAGGGTGAAGCTGTCATCTATCCATTTCGCGGCGTAGATGCTGCCGTCCACCTCTGCATCTCCGACACCGTAGTGGCCGTCGATAACGCCTTTCCAGTCGACGGTCCTGTAGTCCCAACCGGATGTGGCTAAGGTTTGATGGGTTGGACCTGGAGCACTCCATGCAAGCCAGGGGCGGAGGTCATCCTCGGAAGAGATAATCTTCGTAGTGGGATGAACGTATGGGTGTGAGAGAGGCTGCACGAGATACCTTGGTCGGTCCTGACCGCGCTGGTCTTTGAAGAGGTCGCGCTTGACGATGACTGAGAGACCCCACGCGGAGCCTCTGTTGAACCAAGTGAGCTCACCGGAGCGGTAGATGTATTTGCTGTACTGGGCATCTTGGTCTTGTTCCAAAGATTTGGCAGGTGGCAGAGGAGTCGGTGCTACTAGAGTTGGAACAGGAGCAGGAGTGCGAGCTGCCGGAGTGTTGACAGGCTGTGATGCAGCTTTGGAGGGTACAGATGCCATTTTGGCAGCCGGAGGTACAACTTTGGCAGCTGGAGCTGGAGCAGGGCTTTTGGTAGCTGAAGGTTGTGCTTTAGGAGTGGGAGGTTGAATTTTGGGCACAGCTTTTGATACCTTGTTGCTCTCTTGGGACATGGAGCGTTGCTTGATCACCACTTGTGGTTTTGGTATCATGTTGTCTCTCAACACTGCAGGATTGTCCTTTTGAAGTGCCGCAGGTTCCGTCTTCGGAACAAAGCCGCTTTTCCCAGGCAGAATGGATACGTTTTGAACCCATTCAGGAGAGCATTGCTTACACTCGCAATCGGTACGCTGATTGCTTGTACCCTGAGCAAGCCACAATAAATGTGGGAAGAAATCCACCGCGCTCTTGAATCGCTTCTTATGACCTAATGGATAGCCATATAGATAGAAATCTTCAGATCTATTGCCATCCTTTCCATCAGCTTTGGCCGGCTTAGATAAATCTTTAGTACGAGATTTGGACTCCTTTTTGTCCTTGAAACGCTTATACAGGCGATAGTTCTCCGGAAAGTCCACCAAGATCCATATCTGATCTGTTGGACCCTTCTGTTCCCGATGGAGCATACCTCCTAGAATGCGCTTCCACTCGATTGCGACAGGATCGTCGATATCAAGTAGCTCGTAGTAATCATTTTCGCCTGAGTTCCTATCCAGCTGAGCGCTTGTTGGCGCATTGAGCTCTCGCCCATTTTTTTTAGTCTTGATCTCATATTCACCGTCTGAGCGAGCAATCCAGACCGGCTTCCATTCAGCCATACTGAGAGCGGACCCCAAGACCCAAGGGCAATTCTTGTAGATTCGAGCTGATGTACCCAGGGAAAGAGAAGAGAGAGATCATGCAAAGGTCAGGACTTGAGGATCGGAGAGTTTGCCGGACAATCCGATGTGATGATCTGGATAGACGATTTCGATCCTGCTCGTATTTCTCAAGGATGGCTTATGTGGATCCTTCAGACATTTACTTCGGCTCACTCGATTCTGGCTTACACAAATAACTCCTATTGCCAGCTACGTATCTGTGCCCTCTTCTCGTATGAACGGCAAATGGTCGAAATGGGCTTCTTGAAATAGATGATCTGGTGGAGAGTCTTTTCGCGTCAATTTTGTCCTACCCGACGGGAATCACTTGGCAAAAGACCTGTGTCTTCAGTTGTCCGGGCGCTGAGAATTTTACATATCCTAGCCTAATGTGAGGTTGTCTGCAGCACTGATAGTGGCTGCTTGAGTCTAGGTTCTGGATGTGGTTGCGGTGTTGTGGAAGTGGCAGGTGCTAAAATGACTCGGTAAGTACGAGTAAGGTAAGGTACTCCTAGTCATCCGCAAATCTGGCATACGCTAGTCCAAATCAGGCCTTATGAGAGAAGTACAATGGGACAGATCGTGCCGCTATAGGATGCCCATTTGAAGCTACGTATTGCAATAGGGTTACCTAAGGACTGCGAAAACGGGAGAGTATTCGATACAAGCTGCGCAGATTGGTTTACATTTTGGGTACACGCAATCGAGCTAAAGCTATCCCGGCCAGATGTGGGGAACATAGTGAACTATTGGCACATGAAGATAAAGTCTCCCTGGATCTAACATCGCCGACAGTGGGTATAAACGCTAGTTGCACCTCGAGGGCTCATTACATCCAAGCGGATGCATCACTACCCGATATCGCAACACCCATAGCCTAGCGCCGCGATGACTTTCCCTCCCTAATACCGAAGACGCTGTTCTTCCACTAAATTGAGATACCCTTCGAACGCTTTGAGGGTGTAGGCGTTTGTTTGACAGATTGTGGGCCATCTTTGCGTTTCCGGCTGCTCGTAGTATTTGCAAAGTCTCCAAAGCGAGGGGTGCTAATGCCAGAACTGTTGTCCAAGGTCGTCCCATCGGTCAGACTCTCAGCCGGCGTTTGAGGCACGGGCTTCTTCCCGACCTGTGTGGCAGCTGCAACCAAAGCCTGCGCTTCCACTAAGACCTCATAACGAGCATCGATCTCTGCGGCCTGATAAACACAATAATCGGCTGCCTCAGGAGTCTCAACATGGTGGTCGAAACAGCTCGGACATTTTATGTAAAATGCTTGCGCGACTGCCGGAAAGCCAAGTAGTTCGTACTCTTTAAGATTTTCGCCGAGAAGTTCCGTTTTGTCCCAGTCGAGACAGTCCTCACAGAATCCTCTCTCACACCAGCGGCTGTAGACCTAAATTAGTACCAATTTCATTTAAAGGACCAGAATAATATGGAACTTTACCATCGATAGAGCATGCCGCCAGCATCAGTAGTGTTTTGTTGGCAGTCCGCACACTGGTGTTGCGGACAGTGAAAGTGCATTTTGCCCTTGGACTTCGATTTGAAGTCTCTGTCAAGGCATGTATAGTGATAGGAGCGGGGACATCCTGAACAGAGGACTAGGTTTCCGCCATCCCAGCAGACCTGGCATTGCTGTAGTACCTGGTAAGCTTAACCAATTGGATAACTGATCAGAACACATACCTCCTGATTAACTACTTCGGGCTTTTTCTCCCGCCTAGGCTCCGCTAGCCGAGGATCTTTGCCCGCCATTGTTGGCACAGCCTCCCAGTCGGCACAATTGGCGCTTTGCTTGCTTACTACATGGCCATCTATGATGACAGTAGTGTTTTTGCCAATTCGTCTTTCCTCTCTGGACCATTCTTGAGCAATTCCATCGTAGCCATTGGATTCTCTAACCTTGATATGCTTTTTGCCCTCGAAGACACGCGCCTCGACTTGTTCTATCTGAGCCAACCATCTCTTCTCGTCTTCTTCCTTCACAGAGACACCGACTTGTATCTGCCCCGAGACGTGGATGTCGGCGGGTTGATCTTTGCACTTCTCGAGCATTGTTGAGAAGTCCCAACTCAGCATCTCGTTCACGTCAAGTTCTGGACGTGCGAGTGCCTGGGCTCCTCGTCGGACCAAGGACATCAACTGGGTTGTATCAAGCTGCGGCATATCATCTTCTGCTGCTTCCACAACTCTACCTCCTGGGCCTTTCTTCTTCTTCGTTGCCGACTGTAAATGAATATCTCGCATTGACTCTGTCACCTTCGCAGAGAGGTAAAGCTTTTTCTGAATTCTGCCCATCATCTGCTGTTCAACCGTGCCTTGTGTACAGAGCTTATATACGGTCACAGGCTTCTTCTGTCCTATGCGATGAGCACGAGCTTCAGCCTGCAGCATGATCTGTGGGTTCCAGTCCTGATCGAGCATAACGACATCGGATGCTGTCGCTAGGTTGATACCCAGGCCGCCAGCGCGAGTCGAGATTAGCATAACCCGATACTCGGATTCTTCCTGATTGAACATGCGTATACCAAGGTTCCGTCGGGCTAGGCAGGTTTTGGAGTCAGTGTCGCTTTTTTGAGGCACAATTCCGAGAAATGAGACAAATATAGAGAGCATAGTGATCCTTTCGCTGCCGAAACGAGGCGTTTCACCTGAATGAAAAGACAGTGCTGGGGAGTGAAGAAGCTTTCTGCTCCCTGAAAATGGCATGTGGCCCCAATCTGCTACCGAACAGGAAGAATTTACTCCGAAATATACGTACCGCGCGAAGTACCTCCGTCGAGTCTGACGTATTTGAATTGCTCCCCAGCACCGCGTAGGTGCAAGAAGTCTTCGCAGCAGTCCAGCATACGAGTAAAGCCAGAGAAGATGAGGACTTTTTTCTTTTGTTTCACGACCAACTCATCGATAATCTTGTCGAGTACGATAAATTTGGCTGATGCATGGATCACGTGCTAAATGATTTCAGAGTCAGTGCTTCTCTTTGGGGATGGACCAAGAGTCAGGAGACATGTCTCAAGAGGCGGAAAAGGTCTCCGGTCCCCATGATATGATGAAACGGGGAATGATGGGTTGGAAAATATGACTCACTTCGCCGAGGTAATACGGGTCTGGCTCTGCATGAGGAAGAGTGTATGGGTGATTGCAGCACTTAATCAGGTCAGCTAAACTTCGTTATTTGGCTCTAGACAGACACACCTTTCTCAATTGCATTAAAAGGTTCATCAGCTTCTTCCAGGCCGTACTCCTGTTTTCGTCCTGCTGTTCGTGCTCCAGGGCTTGGCGCATAATTTCTTTAGTCTCTTGCCACTCAGTCGCGGCTTCTTCCCCTCCGTATGCTTTGTTTTCCAATGCTTCTAGCTCTTCTATACCCTTTTCTTGCAAGATGCCTCCCTCTTCCGACTCCTGTTTGAGAGCAACGGCCTCCTTTTGTTGGGCACCTTGAAACAACTCCTCCAAAAGTCCTTTGTCGGCGCGAGTCAATAGTCTCATATACCAAAATCTCTGCATAGGAGTTAGAGGAACGTATAGTAGTACTTCGGTTTTTGGTGGAAGATTGAGATCCACTCCAGGGCTGTTCTTCATCCTTCTGAGCATTATGATCTCAAGCAAGCGCCGAGCATCGTCCATGACTTTGGTGCTGACTTGTCCCTTATTAAGGTTGAACGAGGACCTGAAAAGCTCGGCGGTCTTCTCCGTGAAGACCTCAGGATAGAGCCAATGGAGCAAGGCCCACAATTCTACTAAATTGTTCTGCAATGGTGTGCCTGTCAGGATCAAACGGTACTCTGCGCCTAATCCTTGAAGCGCTTTGGAAACCAAGCTGAGATCATTCTTAATTTTGTGTCCTTCATCAAGGACGACGTAGCTCCAGAGGAATGCCTTTTTGAACCAGCCTTGCTCGGCCAGGTACCCTTCGTATGTTGTAACGATGAGATCAACTCCCTGAGCATCGTCCGCATCGGAATCTAGATCAATGATAGGCTTGCCAGTAGCAGTGCGGCGATCATTCTTCTTTTTGCGTGCTCCTCTGGTCTCATTGCCGAAGGTATCAATATCGCCCATCGCTATCCTCTTCAGTCGGTCGCGCTCATGTACAGACCCATGGAATCTCAAAACTTTCAAATCAGGAGTCCATCGTCGAGATTCAGCCATCCACGAGCTAAGGACGCTCAAGGGGCATACCACGAGACAAGGTCGAAGCTCAACACCTGTAAATTTCGAAGTCAGCATAGCTTCTTTGAGGTAATATGCCCAGGATATAAGGCAGTTTTAGCGGTTGAAACCCGCATACTGCTACTTCTTCGAGAAAGGATATCTAGGTTATAGGATAGTCTTGGGAGTTGAGGCCGGCCCCCTGCTCACGAGATAGGAATTGCGGCTCAAGACCAAGGGTTCGATCAAGACCAGATTACTTCGAAACATGCACTTACTCGAGGTTGAAAGCTTTCGACTCTCTTTCAGGTACTGGATCAAAGACAGCGTCTGTAAGGTCTTTCCGAGACCCATTTCATCACCGAGAATGCCAGATAGACCATTCCTGTGAAGATAAATCAGGAAAGACAAGCCCAGTAGCTGATAGGGCTTCATGTCCGCTTTGATTCTGCAGATTAATCAGCTGAATCCGCTTCTGAGACAGCAAATGACCTTACCCTGCAGGCTGATGCTCAATGATCTCATAAGGCACACTCAGATCTTCTTCCCTCTTCCCGCTTTGTTGACGTTGAGCCATAAGGCGCTGAACATGGTTGCCTTCCGGGAGTAAGGGTAGGAAGAGGTCCTTTTTTGCCACAAAGAAGTTTGATCTCTTTCCGGCTGTCGCCGTGTTAACATGGTGTCGGAGTTCCTGACGAGCTGTTTTAGGAGCCGAGGGCTGTAATATAGTCTTCGGTTTTGCATGCCTCTTTGTGATCTTTCTCTTCTTGGCGATACGCTTATCGCCATTCTCCTGTGCCCGTAAGGACAGAGCGAGTTCGTTGGGTTGACGTAACGCATGCCCGGCAGATGAGAGACGAGGGGGTGGAGTTTTAGGTGATTCAATTTCCTCGAGCTCATCTTCAAGATCGATAATGCTCACCCGCGTCCGAGGAGCCTTCTGAGGCGTAGAGAATGTAGAGTCGAGCGAGGAAGAGGCGTCAACGTTGTCCGAGTCATCTGATATCTCGTATGAAATCTGCTCCTTTCTGCGGGAGCTACGTTTTCCCTCCATGGCTATCGGAAACTCTTGAGGGGAGACGCGGTCTGATGAAGGTGATTGCTTCGGTTGGGGTCTTGGCGAGAACGCTGCGAGTATCTGTGATGCGGTGGTTGATCGCGGAGTCGGAGTCTGAGTTTGGGGACTGAGGTGAGGATCAAGGGGGGAGGACAATGCCGTGGGTGTTGCTGGCCATTCCAATTGTGGGGAATCCAAGTACATTCTATGACGAGCCCAAGATCTGTCCTCCATGTAAAAATATGAAATTTGAAGACGTGTGGGGGACCGTTGAAGTTATAAGAAGGATGGGTGCTGTAAGTGAGTTTCACCTTCTGCCGACAAGTGAAGGAGGAAATTGCTGCTAATTTTCAGCACTCTTCCAGGATCGTGGCATTGAAAGCGAGCATTTTCGTTGATATCGACATTACAAGGCTCCCAAAAATTCTACGCCGCGACGATAGTACTGTCCCTTGCATTATTGACTGCTTAAAGGTCCAGACGACATTGCGCTTAGAAGAAAACTTAAAGCTGTGACGCGTTTCGCGTACTCTCGCTACCCGAACCCCTGTCAGCGAACTCTAGGCTTTGCTTGGCTCTTTATGTCCGAAACAATCGGATTTCTTGCTCTAACACAAATACAGTACCGACAACTTGTCAGTGTCCCGATGGCAAACAACAAGCACATTGCCCACGATCTCCTAACCCAAGCCCACCCTGCCCCACTCGCCGCCTCAATCTTTGTCGACAAGGTCCTTCACAAGCCACTCCACCTCCGCCCTACATCCCCAGACCACACATCTCAAGATGCTCGAGCCAAACGACGTATCCAACGCCTTCGAAAGAAAGAGAAATCGCAGCGACGCCAGAAGGTAAAGCCTTTATCTGCGAAAGAAAAGCGAGATTCTGGTATCTATGAGATTCCAGATACTGCGAAGAAGTATGAGATATATGTGCCGTTGCATAGGATGTGGCTGGGATACGTGTGGGAAATATTGGGTATGAATATGGATGAGAGGGCTTTTGTGACTGCGGACAGCGCCGGGAGTAAGCTCGCAAGTGCGGACTACCATGGAGCGGAGGTCACGGTTGTGAGGAGTAAATGTATGGGAATGGTGGGACTGGCTGGAATCGTGGTTAGGGATACGAAGTTCACGTTCCAGATCGTCACGAAAAAGAATGAGCTCAAGAGTAAGAGTCCATCAACAGCCGAACGGGGGTTTTAGGACTGACGATGTTGACTGTCTTAGCCATACCCAAAAAGCATACGATCTTTGGGTTCGAGATCCCACAACCTGTATCCAACCAGAGCTTGGGCCAGGAAGCTGCCACGGCAGAAAGTAAAGCCGAATCGGCAAATCTGGTGTTCGAATTGCATGGCTCACAATTCGAGAACAGGGCTCCAGACCGAGCAACCAAGAAGTTCAAGCAGAGGAACACGAATGATCTATGATAAGATTTTGCCAGCGCAGGCCTACTCTACAACGGCTTCCAACACTATGGTATATATCCAACCTTAGCTGACAGAAGCTCCAAACGTATATTATCGATCAGTCTCACGGTCGATGTCCCTCCGCCAAGACCAGTTTCCTCTCCTTCATGAGGCTCTTCAAGTGGGAGCATTTTGATAGCACCGCTCAATATGGCTCCGCGCTCCGAATCCACCTCTTCCAACTCGTCCAGGGTGTCAGGATCCGCGATCGAGATGTAGTCGATCTCGAATCTTGCACGCTTCTCTCTCGGCAAGGCGTACTGCTGTTTTTTCATGACGGACAGCTTGTCAATCGCCGCATTGTACAAAAACCGCCTCTTCCTAGCTCCTCTAGCGAAGACTTTTTGAACCTCTTTGAAAGAAGCTAAGAGCACCAATGCTACTTTGCGTCTCCGTTCTCCAAGATAAACGTTGCGAGAGCTCATAGCCAAACCATCCGGTTCACGGATTGTCGAGCCAACGCGAACCTCCGTATTGAGATGGAAATCCTGCACCATCCGCTTGACCACAAATGTCTGCTGAATGTCCTTTTGCCCAAAGTACACCCTTTCGGGCTGCACTATATTCAAAAGCTTCATGCAGACTGTTGCAACACCGCGGAAGAAGACCGGTCTCGAAGCACCTTCAAGTCTCGATGACAAAGGGGTGATGGTCACAAACGACCCTTGACCGTCGACCTCAGAGGTTGGAGGCGAGCACGGATACATCTCTTTTGTACTTGGCATGAATATAACACTCATGTGGCCTACTAGGCTGTCATTTTTAAACTCCTTTGCCAATGCCGCGAGCTTGACTTTATCAGCGTCCCAGGTCCGAGGGTACGAGCTGAGGTCCTCATTGACGCCGAATTGAGTAGGGTTGACATAGATTGAAACAAAGACCTGATCGTTTTCCCTCGCAGCTTGTCGTATCAAGGCCAGATGGCCTTGGTGAAGAGCGCCCATCGTTGGCACAAATCCCACTGTATTCCCTGCAAGGAGCGCTCTACGGCGCTTTTGACGGAGACTTGGTATTGAAATGACTCTTTCGAAGCCTGTAAGCTTACGAGGCTTGATGATGCTCAACCGTAGTCGCATAGTGAAGGCAGGAGAAGAACAGCGACTGCCGTGGCTGTGGCTTGTATTCACACTCAACCAAAAGAATTGGAATCCAACAAGACTGTGGGAAGCAGGTCTTCCCAAGTCTCCCCCGAAGCAACGATTCGAGCGAACAACCTCATCGTGAGTCAAATTGGTCGCTGACAATAGGAATGAATGGGCGGTGTCGTGCGTGATAGAACCTTCAGCGTGGAATTGGGACGGCGGTATAGCGCTACTCTAGCGTCGTATTTTTCATCTCCCATAGGACCTCGATCCCCATCGTCACCGAAACCTCCATTGCATCCAAACTCTCCACTCTCCCAAGAATGCCACCACTCCCAGCGGCCCGCAGCACCCTGCTGCGCCTCTGCCCACGGCAACATGTCCCATCCACCATCACCCCCTCAATCCTCGCTGCCACCCAACAACGGCGCTGCAAAGCCGACATCGTCGAACGTCACTCGGGGGAATACGAACGAACACCGCGCTTCGAGTCGCCGTTCAAAAACCGCGACGAGAATCCTACAACGAAGATACCGAGTTTTGCCAATTATATGAGCAAGAAGGGCGAGACGTCGAATAAGACGTTTCAATATTTTATGGTTGGAGGAATGGGGCTGTTGGCGGCGGCGGGGGCAAAGGCTACGGTGCAAGGTGAACATTCACGAGGGGTTTGGGGAGGCGTAGCATGATACTATGGGATGTGATGGGAACGTGGGAGGACGCAATGGCTGACAATCGTGCTCGAATGCAGACTTCCTAGTCAACATGTCCGCCTCCGCCGACGTGCTCGCGCAAGCCAAGGTCGAGATCGACTTGGCCGCCATACCTGAGGGCAAGAACGTATGCTATTTCCTCTCCGCTCACCGCCGCAACGCGATGGTCACTGATCTCCTGCGAACAGGTAATCATCAAATGGCGCGGCAAGCCCGTCTTCATCCGCCACCGCACGGCCGACGAAATCAAAGCAGCCGAAGACACAAAGTGGGAATCGCTACGAGACCCGCAACCGGACTCCGACCGCGTCAAGAAGCCCGAATGGCTCATAATGCTGGGTACGCTTTCCCCCTCCCTCCTCCTCCTCCCCCCTCCCCTGCCATCCTCACGATCGCAGAACCCAGCGCGGCCAAGCTAACCTCCACCCTCCGTCCCACCAGGCGTATGCACGCACCTCGGCTGCGTCCCCATTGGCGAATCCGGCGACTTCGGCGGCTGGTTCTGCCCCTGCCACGGCTCGCACTACGACATCTCCGGGCGGGCGCGCAAGGGCCCCGCGCCGCTGAACCTGGCCGTGCCCGAGTACGACTTCTCGGAGGACGAGAAGGTGGTGATCGGATGAGCTGTTCTCGGATGCGAGGTGGGAGGGGGATGGAGTGGCGGAGAGGGATGGAATAGACTAGAAACGAAAAGAAAAGAAAAGAAAAGAAAAGAAAAGATACGGTTGAGCGGAGGGAGGTCTTCTAGGTTCGCCGCATTGTATCATAGAACCTAGCACAGCAATGGGAGTGTTTGCCTACGGGTGTCAGGACACGGATGCAACAGAGTGCCGTTCGTTGAACGTTCCGTTCTCAGGATGTGTTTGTTATAGTACCTTGCTTGGACCTGTATCCGATCGTTCCTCCTCCGAAGTGAACCTCAAAGCCAACACAGATCCGATAGCTGGGGCGACATCCCCTCTCTGTATCGATTCAAAACCTGGAAACAAGCCTTACGTTCTCAGAACAAGGTTTTACGGCAGGAGATGATACAGGCGGGCCAAAAGTTCCTTTTTATAAACATTATAAGTTATCTACACCATACCCCTCCTTGATTTAATATATCCAAAAACGCCAATGACGTGCAATGCAGTATGCGATATGCCCTGTCATGATTCGTCAGAGACGGTTTCGAAGACCAAATCATCTTTCGGCTTCTGATCAATTAGTTTTTCTTCGCCTCGGCCTCCTTCCTCTTCATCCTCATCGTCTTCCAGCGCATGAAATAGCACGCGAACGGGAACAACATTGTATTAATCGCACACCAAACGAACAAGACTCCGAAGTTGAGCCCGATCCTCGAATGCAAATCGAACAAGGTGCTCCGCGACGCTTCGACGATGTTGTGCAACGGCCACGCGTAGCCCCAGTAGTACCACTTCGGCGCCAAGTCCAGGGAGTAGAAAGCGGTCGACACGTTGGAGATGACCCAGAAGATAAGCCACATCGCCGTCCACGGCTGCCCGATTGCCATTGCGACATTCTCGCAAGCGAGGCCGAGGGCGATCATGCCGATGAAATTGATCATCCAGTAGACGACGAACGTGCCTTTACCGTAAGCGTCGGGGTTGTTGGCGACCATCGTAGTCGGAGCAGTGGGGTTATCGAAGGGAATTTGGAAGGCGAGAGAGATGAAAGAGTAGGCTAGGGACATGAAGAAGTAAGCTAGGACTGTGCCGATCCAGCGGATGACAGATGAATTTCCAGAATTTGATGGTCGGGTGCCCTCCGGGTGTGACGAGCTTGGTGTAGATGGGCAGGAAGAAGGTGAAACTGAAGAAGGCGATGATGATGAGGTAGATGAGACCGATTGTGACTGCTGGGGTGGTGACGGGAGGGCCAAAGGGGCGGAGACTGAACATTGAGAAGCCGATTGCTGGGCTGAGTGCCTGCGGTGCCGCTTGTAGGTTTGTGATTGGGATGCTGGTGTTTTTGAGGACCATGCCCGTCCACATCTGGCCGAAGGTGGAAGTGATTTCCGTCTGCAGACTCGTAAGGGACGGAAGGATGTAGTCATAAACGGTATCTTGATCTCGAGCTTCAACCCAGATGGTTTGACAGGCCCCCAGAGGTTCATAACTGGCATTGCCCTGCTGTACAGCTTGTTGGAGGAGCGCTGTAGCGTTTGCATTGATGACGATTGCTGCCCATGCCTTGAAGTCATACACAGCTTGCCGGACGTTCATTGGGTCGTTGTCGAAGAAGGCTGGATCCATGGTGATGAAACCCAAATGGCCCCCGGATTGTCCAGACGATATCATTTTTTCGGTGGTTTGGGTGATCAAGGGACCAACAAGAGGCGTGACTCCCGTATATGGTGCTTGAGTGCCGTCGAAATCCACAACATACACGTCGAGCGAGGACAAGTTTTGTTCCACGTTGAACAATACCGCCCAGTACATACTCATGACAAGGAGGATAAAGACACAGAGAATCAAAGCTGCCAAAGAGTCAGCGCGAAGTTTTCCAACGAGTGGGGCAATGCTCATTTACTGGTTCTTGCCCACAATCCCAGCAGCTGCAGTCTCAATTTTGCGAGTTCCGAATGCCAGAAACCAACCACGGGCGGCGAACCTCGCTCACCCCCCTTTTCTCCCCCATCTCTCTGCTTTTCGTCATGGAGAGAGGCATTGCTGTATCGCTGCTGTCCATGACCCTGTCCTTGATATCCTAGGGTATGATGTGAATCCGGCGAACTATCATGACGATCGCCACTCAAGGAGCGGTCCAGGTTGCGACAATGCTCACACTCCCTGCCAGCCATGTGGTTGAAGCAAACAGCAATGAGCTGATGAGGCTGATACGAAGGCTCTGGAGAAGAGGGATGATAATAGCTGGCTGATCTGCTGGAGTGACGTTTATTATTTGCCTGGATGAGAGGCAAGGCATCGCGAGCATCTTGGGCCCTTTGTGCGGAATAATGTTCGAGACGCCTATGACTTGTCGATTGCATCACTCTATCCGAAAGTTGGCGAACCATGCTAGTGCCGGATCTGGTCCCGGAGTTAGACCGGGTCGGATTAGGATAGTACGGGTATGACATCTTGTTGGCTGAGATGCGGAATGAGAGATGCCTTATACCCGCTTGCGAGTTGGGTATGCTCTGACAAAGTACTCTGTGCTTGAAATACACTCCAAATGCTGGAACAAATCAAGTAAAATATCTTTCAAAAGACTAGGTAAATTTCTGCTGGAAGTCCATGTTTAAGTAGCGAATCTCACATGAACGACTTCGGTCGCCGACGGGGAAAACGGCCACGACCAATGCAACCGGGCACCAATCATTCAACGCGCTTCATGAGCTATCCGTCTCTATTTCCAACAGTCAAGTGAGCTATCCGTCTCTATTGCCAACAGTCAAGTCAGTTCTTGCTTCTAGGATTGCCGTATGCTCTAGGCCGGCCTGACACAACCGGCTCGATCCGGGCTCCTATCCCCAGACCGTTTCTATCCAGAATCAAACGCAGGACCTCCAGGCGCGAAGACCGGGAGCAATACATCGGCACCGTCCAAGTTGTCGTTGATGCATGCAACGATTGGTTTGGCACGTGACAATAGCAGACCAGTAGAATAGGTTTGCCCAGCGTGCAGTACCTCGGAAAGCTCAGCCTCTTTCGTCGCAACCCTGCTCTACAGGACATCCTTGGCTGGAAATCGAGAGCTCGGAGCCAGCATAGAGTACCCCCATGGGCACACTGTCATCACTTAAAATGCAAATTCTTAAGTTGTACTCTATTGCTCCTGACTATTATTCACACTTCACTCCCTGCCCTGTCCTACAACCTGTCTCATGCATCGTTCGCCACGTAAATTGCAAGTTTGACCTTATATCATCCTGTTGCACCCATTATATGAAGTCTGCCGAGTATGAAAAGCCTCGGAACTCTTCTTGCATTGCTTGCGTCAAAACTGAAAGTTATTAGCTCAGATTCTGAACTCCACGGACATTGACAAACTTACCAGACTGGACCGGCGTAAGCACAGGCGTAACGCTTGTAAATTCGGAATCGAAGTTGCTGGTATCCGTAGGGTTCTTGATCTGTGGTTGGAAGGGAGGTGCAACTTTCTTGTCTCGGATATCGTCCCAATTTATGTTCCTGAAAAATGCATGGCTCATGATTTCTTGAGCATCAGTGGGACCAGACCCTAGCCGCAATTCTGGCTCGCGCATTAACAGCTTCTGTAAGACCGACACTGAGTCTCGTGGCATGTGAATTGGGTATAACGGTTCATCTGCCAGAATGGCATCGTAAATCTCATCTTCGTCTTCCCCTCGGAATGGGGACTGTTGCAGTAGCATTTGGTAGATTAGGACTCCAAATGCCCACCAATCGACAGCCCGTCCGTACTTTTTGTCAAGTAGGATCTAGCGACAGGTTAGACATTCCGTCGCTAACGATGGGAAATTGACTCACCTCTGGTGCCATGAACTCTGGTGTCCCACAGAAAGTGCTTGTGCTTGACCCATACCACATCTCTTCTTTGCAGAGACCGTAATCACCAACCTTGATGTGACCATCCAAAGCCAACATTATGTTGTCGAGTTTAAGGTCGCGGTAGATGACTCCGTTTTCGTGAAAATATTTTAGAGCTAGGCAGACCTCAGCCGCATAGAACCTGGAGGTGTCAGTATTGATGATTAGATCAGAGGGATCATTTCACTGACTGTGCGCGTTTGCTCCCAAACTGCCCACGTTGGATGTGCAACATAAGGTCTCCACCGCTGATGTATTCCATAACGAAATATACCCGAGTTTCCGTCTGGAAGCACGCATGAAGATTTAGCAAGAACGGATGGCGTTCCTTGTTTGCAACCAAGAACACCCTCTTCTCTGACTTCGTGCTCTCTACTTCATCATTCTCGATGATGAACTCTTTCTTGAGGACCTTGATGGCGTAAAGCTTCTTTGTAGCTTTTGTTTCTGCCAGCATAACCTTACCAAAATTACCCTTCCCGAGCACAGCAAGGAAGTTGAAGTGCTCAAGCCCAATGCGCCTTCCCATACCCTGTTGAGGGGCGGCTTCGCTTGCAGGTAGCGCCTTGACGACTTGCTGGTTTTGTTGCTGTGTTCTGGTTGGCTCTTGGAAAATGGGCTGCTGTTGTGGAGGCTGGACGACAGAGGCAGGAGGCGCTTGCGAAGGGTAACCACCGTAGCCTGCATAGTCTTTCGGATTATAGGTGGCTTGCGGAGGTTGTTGTGGCCCTTCATCCATAGATGGATAGCCTGCACCGGGCATGCCAGAAAGTGAGCTGAAGTCAGTGGTTGTATTCGATCTGGGCGATGACAGTCTCTTTTGTTGTTGAAACCCATGGACTTAGAAGCGGCATCAATGGCCACTTGGGACGAAGCAGTGCGGGGAGGCTGCTGAGGTCGACGTTGCTGTGGCAGGCCCTCGCCACTATATGTTGCATTCTTGGCAGCACTCTGAGCTGCGCCCGATGGTCCTCCATACTGTGGAGCTGGAGGAGGCTGGCTATACAGCTGCTCTTCCTGACCGTGTGATCTTCGGGGGTCGGTAGCCGGCGTGCTGAGCTGTTCTGTTGCTGGCGCTGGTCTAAAAGACGGTTGAGGGGCAGGACTTGGGCGTCCAGCGCTTGGCCTCAAGGTCCTTTCGCTCAGATTTGTGGGTTTGGAAGGTCGCTGTCCTTGCAAATTCTTGGTTTCTCGCGAAAGTACTAGGATCTGGTTGGCTACTTCCATCGACATGCCGCAGAAGTCAGGCACAAGGTGAGCGCATTGTGCATGGCAGCTGAGAGCGCATTCTGTGCAAAGATCAGTTCTATATAAGATAAAGAGCTGCAGTGGAATCGACTCACCAGAGCATTTCTTGTTTTTGCGACCCAGTGGCAGGATGTAGCCACAATGGCAGCACCAATTGGCCCCCATGTTGGAAAAGTTCTCGAATCTGTGTGGAATACGATGGTTGAGCTTCTCTTCATCCGGGTCGGTTTCCGCATTAGATTTGCTGATACATTTGGTGACCACCTTGGAGTAGCACTTCTTGTGGCACGTATATTTGCAATCCTCGCATTGCATACCGGCGGAGTATTTTAGAAACTCCCCGCAAAGGGCACAACGCATGATATTGTAGAACTGCTGGAGCACAAACTTATGGCCATAAAGCTCATAGACTTCTTCTTTGCGCTGGCGAATGGCGCCTTTACGGTTGAGACCAATGTCGAAGGGTCTTCGGTCTTTGAGTTGTTTAGCTGCCACATATCAGTATCTCTGCTTGAACCACAGATTAGAGGTTATCAGGGCTCACTGAAGCTCAAAGTCAATTGAATCCTTCCCACGGGCTCCAGAGCAAACCATGCGTCGACATCTCCAGGATTTGAAGGAGGCTGGGCTGCGTTGTAGGAAGCCTGTGCCGATGAGCCTCTTGAATCCCGCTGTTCACGGCCCTGTGATTGTTGCAACGATGAGTACGCAGAATCTTGTCGGTTTTGCATCCCTTGATTGTCCATCCTGTCTGCTGTTGCCCAACCACCGCCCAAGTCCGCTTCAATCTTTTTACGTCTCATCTCTTCCGCAATATCAGATATCCGAATCCACAGCATGGCTATAGGTGTCGGGTGACTTCCGGATTTGTCGTACACAGTCAATTCGATTTCGTTGGCCTTGTCAATGTCGATCTGGTGAACCTCGTCGGTCCACTTGTCGATCCTCGTACTCTTCGTTCTCGCTTTGACCGTATCTTCAACCTTCAACACGACAAACGTCTCTGGGCTCCGAGCAAGCCTCCCAATGGCGACATGGTCTACATCCTTGACGGCATGTACGGTCATGGAGAGGAGACCTGTCAAGGGCTTCCGCATGTTTGGGGAATTCAAGCTGTCATCTATGTATGTTGTCAGGTGCTCACGATCCAACCCTCACAGAGGAGGACCTACCATCTGGCGCATCGTTGGTGCTTTCCATGTCTACGTGCAGGTCCTCGTACCTCTTTAAAGCCTGTTTCAGGAGCTGGATCTTCTGGTTGCTCTCTATTCGTCGGGCCTCTGCATCGGCTTTGCTCTTCCTGTCCCCCTCATCTTGGTAGAGCCTGACCATCTTTTCCACGCCATCCTTGTATTGTTTTTCAACGCTCAGTTTGAACTCTAGCTGGGAGAGCATAAGCTGTATTCGGGGTCCTAGATAAGCAGTGTCGTATTTAATTAGGTCTGCACAGGCTCGTTAGTCCACAGCATTGATATATTGAAACACCTTCCGCCCACCAAGTTTTGTATAGTTCGGCCTCGTTTTGGGTGTTGTAGACCCCGGACCAGGAGGACCGAATGGGGCTCGTGGAGGCATCATGCCGTGGCCTCCGCTCATGTCGTTCATGTATCCTCCATTACCCGGATCTCCGTAGTCACCAGAATCTTGACCAAAACGTGCTCCTCCATCCCTAGGTGCAGGTGTTGGTCCGACTGGCCTTTGTGCGTTCCGCGCTCCTCTTTGCTGAGGTGATAAGCCCCCATGTGCTGGAGGTTGAGGTCCACCACTGCTTCCCGACCCCATTGCCTCCATCCTTCGCATCTGTAGTTCTCTCATTCTTTCTTCAAGATAGTCTATCCCCTTTCGTGACTCTCTTATTTGGGAATCCAAGCTCTGCTGCACTTGTGGATTTGAGGATTGGCGCATGTTGTTTGCGGCGTTGATAAGGACCTTCTCCCTCTCAATCTTTCGGTATACCTGATTGATGAGGTCATCGTCATTCATCTTGACTGCTTCCTCGCCTCACAGGCGGAGAGGATAGATTGAAAGCACGCGGTCGTTGAGGGTGTAGCCTGGAAGACCCTGCTGATGCTCGAACCAGACCGAATGAAGGAATTCTTGGTATGAATGGCCTTGGGAAGGAAGTCAGTAGACGAGGAGTCGCGATTTGACTCTTGTGATTCTTCTCTGTTCGGAGTACACCTCAAAGAGTCTTTGTCATAGTCTCGGAGTGAAGGCTCAGATGCTGTGGAGTGGCGCGCTATTGCCCCACGCAAGTCGCCAGGAAAATGTCAGCCAGCCCTTGCATGTAAGCACAGCAAATCTCCAAGAAGCTTCACGGAGCAGGTGAGTAGTGGTACAATTCGTGAAAGGTATCGCAATTGCGATGTTTCATGATCGGCACTGAGGCTGTGAGGCAACCCGCGGTGGGGAAGCGAGAATCGCAGAACAACACAAAATGTTCTGTTTCTACAAAAGATGGCTGTAGACTGAAAATCTCTTATATAGTTGTTACTAGAAGCACTTTACATGAGCCATTAATTATCTGCATACCAGGTCACTGTCTGGTCTGTCAGTTTGTTTATTAAGCGTGATAGGCTGTAGACTGAGGTGGAACTGTTTGCCAGACTGAACAAAGCAGTAAATACTGACTGTCATAGCTCTCTTCATCCCTTCTTTGGTATCATTACATTAGAATACAGACATAGCCGTAGCATCCGTGCGGGATCATGCCCGCCCCGTGGGCCCGTGTATAAGAATTCAGCCCTTCTGCCCGCAAGTGCGCTGGATCTCTTCCTCACATTCATGACAACGCCTCGCTGATATCTATAGCACACATAACGACGAAAAGATTTGACTTTTGGCGCAAAGCCATCCAATGTGACTAGGTAAGTCGGTGGCATCCTAAAACGGAGGCTGGCTCTGCAAGATCGACTGAAGTAGATGGCTGAGAACTACTGGGAGACGTCCCGAGTATTGTCGATTATTAAAAGTGGTTGAAATTCTGCCCTCCTGGGTGGTGTTGAGGTGCGACGTAGTAGTTCTGATAAGGATGGATCGGCTGGCCAAAGTCCGCCCTGGCATACATAGGATTTGGTATACCACTCGGTATCGACTTTGACGGTGGTGCAGGAGGTAATGATGTTGTAGATGCCTGCTGCTGGAATCCATAGTTCAGTGGCTGCTGGAGACTGTCCTGGCCGCTCCAACCCCATTTTTTGATCAGTCCTTCAATCACGAAATTGATGCCCCAGCCGGTTTCTTTATGTATCTTGTTGACAATCGTAAGAACCTCTTCTTGCTCGGGCCGAGAGATCAGGCATTCACCAGCGTGATGAATGGAACGGAGTGCTACACTTGCAACACCCCTGATGGCCGTTAGCAGGATGCCGAGGAGGAGGTCTACCTGGTGGGAATGGTACCTATCCTTGACATGGGCTATTATGCCGCAAAGCGTCTGGGCGTTCTGCATTTGCATTTCCTGCATATCTTGTACTTCTTGTTGGCTTACAGATATCATGGGATTTGTTTGTGCCAGGCAGATGAGCGCTGTGTGATAGAACATTCGAGCAATGACAGTGGCTCGTTTAATCAACCTATACCGTCAGTCCGTACCCAAAAGTCATTTCAGTATATCAATTCTCACCAGACTTCAGGAAACAATGACTTCGAGGTTTGCTGAAACGGGTGCGAACGACCCAGCGGTTGCATTGTGCGAGGAACACTATTATCCCAAGCATCACACCAATCTTTCAATATCTTCCACTCTTCGTATCGGTTCTGGATCCGCATATGGTCCTGTGGTGGGTCCGAGGAGCGAGGTGTCATCAGCGCGCGGAAATTTGCTACCTTACCCAATATCCACAATATCCGGTATGTCCAGATTTCTTCGCGTCCAGGACCTGTAGGCCCGGAGAAATCCATGTCAAGACCCCAGTCGTTCGGATTCCATGCTACCTGCCAATTGAAATGAAGACAGCTGAGTAACTCCATGCCCACATTTAGCCAAAAGCACGCGGCTCCGACTCCGACCGAGGTAGCATTCCAGCCGCACTCTTTGATCAGGGCACGAGCGCCAGCAATATGATTCATCCTTTGAAGTGGTTTCTCGCACATGATCTCGTAAACATTCAGGATCACAGCCGTCGTTGCGCAGATGACAGTGTCTCGGTATGGATTTTGCAATTGCCGGAGCAGCAATCTGGTTGCGGAGTCGTAGTAATGCAGAGCCTTGTCTTCCTGATATGCTGGGTTCACCAGGACTAGATGCCGAGCTCCGCAAGCAAGGAAAGCGTTCAACAACATCGGTTCGCTCAAGGAATCGAAGGGCAAAAGTCGGGAGAACTGGACATTCAGTCAGTTTGTTCCTCGGCGCGCCAAAGTAGATCCCCTTACATGCTTGTAAGGATCCATGCTATCCATCCATATCCCAACTTCTTCAACGAAGACTTGCATGAACAGCAGCTCCTCCGGATCAGTCAAAACTTCTCGCGTTTCGCTTGGCGGAGTCAACGTCTGCTTGGTATTGTTGTATGAGGATACAGAGGTGGCACCAATGGTATGACTAGAAAAGGTCGAGTCCGAATTGGTCGAGCCATGTCTTTGATGCTGATCTCGACCCTGATCTGGCATTGGCTGCATCGACGCTGCATATGCCTCCACTCCACCCGGCTGGATTTGCTGGGAAGGTAATTGCTGATGGGCAAGCACAGGAGCTTGTATCATGGGATCGGCGAAATCGAACGTCGATTCCTCCTTGGGCACCACGTCTCCTTCAGCCTCTATCTCTATTGCGGCATAGCGACTGAGACCCCCTCGATATTCTGAAGCAATTTCTCGCGACTCGTCTTGAAATATCACGTCCCAGTCTTCCGTCGGAGGAGTGATTGGCGGATTCCTGATGGTGGTATCGATGAAGTTCAAACGAACTCCTCGTTTGCATTCTCGGTTCGATTTTTTGCAATTTTGGCAGTCAGGAACACCTTCATCGCATTTGAGATGTCGTTCTCTGCAAGTCAAACAGCCAGTCCGTACCCTTTTCGGCTTGGCTGCGGCGGCGGCGGCGGCGGCAGCTGCAACATCTGCCGGCACTGTTGATGGGCCAGTCTTGCTTGCCATTGGATCGTATTGGGTGCTATGGCCTCGGGCCTGAGCAGCCCTGGCTGCGCAAGCCAAGAGGGGGTCACTTCAGCAGGGTTCACAGTCTTGACGCGATCTTCGGGAGCGATGTGATTGCGGATTCGTCTCCAAAGGCGTACAGGAATGACGGAAAAGCTTAGCAGCAAGCAGACTTTGTGATCCGAAGGACAATTTTGTCGAGGTATGGCAGGAACAATGGAACGGTCCAGAAGAAAACGCCTTCAGAAGAAGGGATGAGAAGTATGGGCGTCCTGGCGCGAGGTCGTTGCCGATGGTTTTCTCTGATATTGTTACCGTCCGAATTATGGTCACAGAATGCGAATCGTAATGATTGTCGTTGCCCATTCACTCCGCGTGTGGGCCCAGCATGCAACGCGACATGCGAAGTCTCCTTTCAGTCGCAATTGATATATGAGAGGGGGTCAACGGTGAGGTTGGTTGGAGAATGGAGGATCGAGGGTACCAGTGGTGGAGTGAGTTGCAACAGGGAAGGGGAAGGGGAGGTCTTAGCGAAGATCGCCTTTACTTTAAAATTTTGGCTTGCGGACTCGTCCCGAACTTCCAGTTGAGAAGAGCGATGAGGATCTGGGCCTGGTAGGGGGGGCACCCTTTTGACAGGGGCTTAGGGGCTTTGATGGGTTGATGGCGCAGCGTTGGGATGCGACCGGGCGGTTGTTTCTTCCTTTGAATTTTCGGCTTTGGAGGGATCCTGGTGCTCTCAACTCCGTTTGGTCAACTCTTTTGCTGTCGATTTGAACCAGACACGAGGCAAAGCTTAAAATTGAATTTTGGAGCAGGGTTCTTCCCACGGTCCCACCATCAAAATTCCTTTCTTGCTAAAGTAGGTACTTTATAATTCCGAACCAATGACACCGGACTCCAAAGACTTCACTTCAATACGTGGAGAAAGATGGAGAAGAGGAAGAAGAGAAAAGAAAAGATGCAGGATGGAAGATGAACGTTCTGCTGCCCCTCGGCCTTACTCTGGAGTAAATACATTCGCCGAGGAGGTCGGTAAAGACGTCAGCGGCGGTTCTAGACTTTTAGACTTTCTTTCCGGCATTGAACCTGGTCCAGCAGATTGATTGGCAGGGCAGAAATCAACATTGTACTTAGGTACTACTGCTGCACCGTAGAGTATCTCTCTCTCTCTCGGCTTTCCTTTGTCCTACCGGTAACACTACAATAAATAATATTTTAAAGTACCTACCTATAATTTCTGAATGTTGACACATTTACCTGATTAGTATCAAACCTCAATGTTGTCCCGGCCACCAAACATGAGCCCCCCCGCCATTCGTCAAACGTCTAGCAATAAGTCGGATCTTCACAATGCCGCTCCGAGGCATGCCAACGTATCACTGCCAAAATCCCTCTGCTCTGCCGAGGTCAAAGGTCAAGTCCGTTTTTGTAGCATCAAAGATATGCCATCATACCCTCCAATCTTCTGCTTCCGCCTCCACAGTTGCTGTAAATTCTCTGTTGAAGCTCTTCCGCTTCAATTTTCTCGACCGGTACTTGTACTTTGGGGGCTGAGACCAAGCCCTACAAAAACACGTTTCTTCGCTGCGCAAAGACCAATCTCTTCTCCCGCTTTACCTACCTTGGCCCACCAACTGCCAAAGTTCATGGGTGCCGAACCGCACAACCCCCCAGACTGCAGCTCTTTTGCTTCTGGTATTTCGGTCAAAACACCAAGCTGTCCCCCCCTCCGGAGGCAGACTTATCGCTCTGCCGCTCTCTTCTTTCATCATATATATCAACCTTCCTGCATTAGGCACCTCTTCTTTCTCTAACAGCCTATCTTTCCCCTACCCAACATGACCACGGAGCTGCTCCCTCCCGCACAGCCAGCTTTCATTCTTCGAGGCCACTCTGCTCAGATCCACGCCCTACACTTCACACAGGGCAACACCAGACTCCTAACGGCCGATGCCGAGGGTTGGGTCGTTTCGTGGAACCTATCTTTCAAGAGACCGGTGGCCGTCTGGAAGGCTCACGACAACGCCATCTTGGGCGTAGGATCCTGGAGCGCAGATCGGATCATTACGTGCGTACATGATCCAGGATGGGTGATCCCATGCGCCGGCTAACCCGAAAGGCTACAGTCATGGCAGAGATCACAAGCTACTCGTATGGCAGCTCGGTCTGGCAGACGAGCTCGCCATGGACAAAACGCTTCCCGTTGATGCTGCCCTCACCTCGAGGAAGCAGCCGTGGCTGTTGCACGCGCTCCCGGTCAACACGTTGAACTTTTGTGCTTTTGCAATGTGTCATGACGGCATGCCGCAGGTCCTCTCTTCTGTCAAGGCCTTGCAAGACAAGGACGTTCCATGCCCGATTCTGATCGCTGTGCCAAACACTGTGGATTCCGGTGGCGTACGCAGACCGTCCGTGACCAACATCCGCTATTCATACTGATTTTATGTACAGATTGACATATACCAGCTCCCTTCCGAGCACCGCGCTGCCGGTATAAACGCAGACCGATTCATCACGACCGGTGGGCCGAACGCAAACCCCCAAAGCTCCCATCACTGATATCACCAGGCATGGTCATGGCCCTGAACATCCTAGCCGAGTCCACCCGGATCCAAGTAGCCGCCGGCTACGAAAGCGGCCACACAATGGTCTTTGTGCAAAACGACCCAGGCGCCCCCTTTCAAAAACTCTACTCCGCAAACCCTCACACCCAACCAGGTCAGCCCGCCTCCCACCCCCCAAAAAACCCCCCCATCTAACCCCCCCCAGTCCTCTCCCTAACCATCGCCCCGTCCAAAGACCACTACCTCACCTCCGCCGCCGACGCCACCCTCGCCAAGCACCCCTTGCCCCTGGGCCACAACATCTGGAACACCGAACCGAAACCCCTCAAGGTGGTGCAGACCCAGCACTCGGGCCAGCAGGGGCTGCGGTACCGCTCCGACGGCCGGGTCTTCGCCACCGCGGGCTGGGACGCGCACACGAGGGTGTACTCGGGCCGGACGATGAAGGAGCTCGCGGTGCTGAAGTGGCACCGGGTGGGCTGCTACGCGACGGCTTTTGCGGCCGTGGAGCAGGCCGCCGATCGTGACGGGGCGGGGGATGGGAGGGGATGGGGATGGGGATGGGGATGGGCAGGCGGTGAAGGCGCAGGGATCGGTGGTGAGCACTGTGCAGCGGCGGCGGGATCAGAAAGCGCAGGGCACGCATTGGCTCGTGGCGGGCGCCAAGGATGGGAAAGTGTCGCTGTGGGATATCTATTGAAGTCTGCGGACAACGCTGGGGGTGGGTAATCAGCCGATGTTAAATTCGCTGGCACCGGCCATATGCTCCTTCATCTTCGAGCGCATTTTCTTCGCCGCGTCCCGCCCATCGTTAGGGGCCAGGGCCGAGTCTTCCTTCCCCGGCCTCTTTTCTCCCACCGAACCGTCACCACCGGCGCCACCACCATCACCGGGCCGCCTCTTCTCCCGTTTCGTCGGGTTTCCGCCTCCGACGGTGTTCCCTCGACCCATATTGCCCGGCCTCTCCCTCAGTGCGAACGCCTTGGCTAGGTGTCCCAAATGCAACCCCTTCACATCGAACATGCCCCTCTCCTTGGCAACATGCGTGGCATACGCCCTAACATGGCTCACGTACGCCTTCCGCGCCATCTCCCCCGCTCGCTTATCCTCAATGACCCAGCGCTCGAGCTCAAGTTGCCATTCTGTCGCTTCATCGTCCCATTTCCCTCCAGTGGTGGCGGTACCGTCCAGTTTGTTTTTGGCGCTTGCAATCTGTTTTCCAAATCCCTTGCGCAGGACGTCTTCCGCTCCCTCTCCCTTGATGGCACTTTCACCTGCACCCTCCTTCAGTACTTCCACATAGCCTTCTTCCGGCCCGGGCATCAAGAAACAACACGCTCTACCCTCTTTGCCAGCCCTTGCGGTTCGCCCCACACGATGCAGATGGTCGTCTGCAGAAAAGGGTGGGTCGTATTCGATTACCAGGTCGATGTTCGGCAGGTCTAGACCACGGGAGGCAACATCTGTGCAGAGGAGGATACAGGGATTAGACGAACGCGTGAACGATTGGAGGGTGGCTGTTCGTAGAGGTTGGGCTAGAGAGCCATGGAGTTCATAGAGCGTTAGACCCGGATTTGAAGGTGAAGCCAAGCTGAACGCGGGCGCAACCGTGGGAAATTCTGGCTTCTCACTTTTTCGACTTGTTTCTGGCATCTCCGCTGGGGTCGAAGCATCCTGAGTCCCGGGTGTTTTGCGTGTTTTGTTACTCCTGGTGTTTTGATCAGAGGACGTGGTTTCTCTTGGCGGTTGGGCCTCTTTTCGTGAGAAGGCTTGGAAATGGAAATCCACACTGTCGGCGCAGGATAGAAAGACTATCGCTTTCATTACTGAACCTTTCCTTGCAAAAGTCCGCTTGAGTAGCGCCGCGAGTGTTACAAGGCGTTGCTTGGGAGGTACCACGATATAGGACTGCTTCAGCTGCGCTGGCGCTAGAAAAGCCGTCTGTTTGTCCTCTTGCTTACTTGCCGTAGCGCTCTCTGAGTCGGTGGACAATCCAGGATCAGCTTTGATATGCACCGCATCTTTCAAGCTTATCTCCCCCAGTTTTTGCACTCCCATCTTCATTGTTGCGCTACACATAACGGTGGTCCTCTTTTCCGGCAGTCCCTCCACCCTTTTTCTCAATCTCCATTCCCCCCTTTTCTCGTCTTTCCGCTTCTCCAATTTTTGGACAATGCCTTTGATGTCCTCCTCGAATCCTAATTCCATGAGTCGATCCCCCTCGTCCAGCACTAGCCACCGCACATTTCCTACATCCAGGACCTCTGTGTTGTCCAAATGATCCATCAGTCTACCAGGAGTCGCGACAAGTATGTTGAGACCTTTTCGTAATCGCGCCTTTTCGTGATTCTTGACGGCGCCCCCTGTGACAGTGCCAGCGACAAGCCAGGGCATGGGACGCAGGAGGCGGGTGAGCACGGCTGAGATCTGGTGCGTGAGTTCACGGGTTGGGGCGAGGATGAGGGCGAAGAGACCGGATGTGCGGTTGATCTTCTTCTCATCTTTCCTTTCCTTCTCCGCTGAGTCTGTGTCTCCAGTCGGGGTGAAGGGCGCCGCACTGGACAGGGCCATTATCCGCTGCAATATTGGGAGAAGGTACGCCAGCGTCTTCCCAGATCCAGTCTCAGCTTGTATAAAGGCATCGCTATCTTCACGGAGTAGCTGCGTTATGGTTGCTTTCTGAATTGCGGTTGGGGCGGTGAGATTGAGATTTTGGATTAGATGGGTGGAGAGGAACGGGGAGAGGCCGAGAGAGGTAAAAGTGGAGAGGCTGGCATCGAGAGGAGCGTTGGAGGGTAACGGAGCTGGAGCTTCTTCCGCTTGTTTTGCCTTCGATGCTGATGATTTGGTGGCAGGGTTGTAGGTGAAGAGGGAGGAGACAACTTCATGCGATTTCGACTTGGCATGATTGTTCCTAGATTGAGCAGACTGCGCACCACTGATCTTCTGTCTCTTGGCAGACCTTGGATTATCCTCTTCTAGACTAGGTTCCCTGGTCTTTGTAGGGACCGCGACGGTATTGCTTCCTGTAAGTGTCCCGTTCGTTTGATTCTTCTCCCGTCGGCGCTGTGAGCTTTTCTTTGCTTGCAGTCTGTCTCTCCAGCGGCCGCCTTTGAAAACGGCTTTTGTTCCTAATGAGTCTTCTCCTATGAAGAAGTTCATCAACATGCCATCTTCGGCCATTTTGTCGGTAGGAGCTTGGCCCAGCTCGTGCAAGTGTGAGTCCTTCCTTCGAGCCCCTCCAGAAAAGATTGAACCTCGGACCAGTTGAAGAAAGTTTTCCCGATGATTAAGCGCTAGTGCGCTTATCGGATGTCCCTGCTGCCGAGCTTATTAATTCAACTGCCGGCATCAAACCTCGAGCTCTCTAATGCTTTTAAGAAGCGGTCAGTTCCCAATCCCGACTTTTTCATGTTGCGTTATTTGCCTCGCACAACCAATTGCTTGCCGAAACGACCTTCTCCAATCTTGTGTCCTACCACTCGTCAGCGATCTCACAGAACTATAATTATGGCAGGAGCATTGCCGCCTCTCAGTCCCACAGACAGAGACACTTACGCCAGAATGGGTACAACTATGGAGTGGTTCCATAACAACTTCAGAAATACTTGGAAGGTGCTCTACGGGGCTTGTTCAAGCGGGAAACGCCCTGCGAATATGAGCATAAGACAATTCCTGAACACCGGCTCAGAGTTCGCTCATCATCTCACTATGCATCATACCATTGGTATATCTATCTTATTAGGGCTCACAATGTTCTCCACCCACTAATCGCACTTGCAGAGGAGCAGCACATCTTTCCCGTACTTGCGCAGAAAATGCCAGCATTCAAGAAGGAGTTGGAACTCCTTACTCAGCACAAGCAGATACACAATGGCCTCGATAAGTTTGAAGCATACATTGACGATTGCAAAGCTGGGAAACGTGATATGCGAATGGACGAGCTCAAAGAAATCATGGATTCGTTCGGCACGGTTCTCTGGGCCCATCTGCAAGACGAAGTTGACCAGCTCTCCGTTGATAATATGAGGAAATATTGGTCTTTGGACGAAGTAAGAAGGTTACCGATGTGATCGAAACCACTCATCTCGGCTGCGGTACTCACGCGCTGGCCTAAGATATTTTGGCGATACGGTAGGCGTCATGCCTGAGACGTTTGCTTCAAGAGGAGAGAAAATAGAATTAGGTTTGCGAGGGCTTCGATCTCCAATTTGTGTCCAGAGCAGCGACCAAGATCGCCATCACACCAAAGGCAGCACAATAAAACAGGAATGGAGCGGGCTTGAGCTATTGCGTCCCCCACAGGTAGCGAGAACATTGGCTCACCACGTTGTGGCTTCCCACTGGAGGTTCGAGGAGCAGTACCATACAGTATGCACTCCGTAGAGAAGGGGCACTAGGGGAAGGTTGGAAGCTCGCGTACGGATATTGCATACGGAAATTTGATTGCGCAGCACATAACTCGAAGTCATCGATTTGATTGTCTACTTTTTACTTGGAAGTGTTCTGTACTCGCACACTTCGCTGCAGAAAACGGTGACCGTCGTCGTATTGAGAACAGCCGGTCAATGCTTTCCACGCCACATGACCGCCTTGCAAATATTCGCTTTCGAGGGCCCTTAGCCGAGCAAAAGTCCGCAGGCTGGAGAGTATTGGCTTTTCATGGCCACTAGCGAAGATGGCCAAGCGAGTCGATTTTCGTCTCCACCAAGTAGTAGTGTTATAGCAGGTTAGCGGTACCTTTGCTATGCGAGCACTGATGCCAATCTTCTGTATCGAAAAACGTGAACAAACCGAAATTTGCCGTCTTAAAGTCTGGCCTTTATCCGTTCAAATCTCACCTCACCTCAGTTCCCAAATACTTGGTCAGTCAACACGATCAATGGCCAACCCTCTCACACCTTCCAAATCCTCGCTCACAGCCCTCTATCTCACAGCACTACAAAGCTCCGACGATCAGTCTCATCTGTCTGAAAGTTTCCAGTACTGAGAAGCACCCACGGATTGCAGCGCAACCCGCAAGACTTTCTTTCGTTGTCACTACACGACCGACTCTGCATTTGGCGGCCCGATCAGGATGAGTCCACCCAGGAACTTTTTCACTGAGGTAGCAGATCAAGGTCAGCTCAAGTACCTTGGCTCAAAATGAAATTGTCAATCAGAGTGTCGAAATGCTGCAGGGTCACAGCAGGACCCAGCCGACCGCGACTTGGGCTATCTCATCAACGACAGGCCACCGTGGATGTGCGAAGCCGATCAACACGTCTCGTGGTTCGAGGGCGTCGAGCGGACGACTGTGCTGTTGCTCAAGTGTGTCGACATTGAAATCGATCCAGGACGTACTTCGCAAGGCCATGCATTTCACAAAAACGTTCTTGAGGTATTAAAATAGAAGAGAAACTTTTATCACGACGCGTTGGGAAACGGACCAGTACACGCCACTCTATCGCAGGCCAAGCAATTCCGCAATATGTGGCGGAAGAACGGTATTACACAATAGTCGCCGCGCTTGTCAGCCATACTTGGATTCGCTCTCAAGCAAGGAAAGGTCAGTCGACGCTGGTTTATTGGAAGCCTTTCGCATTCTCGGCACAAGATACGAACCGACTGGGACCGTGATGATGCAGAAAATACCAGCCAATGAAGAGCAAGTGAGTAATGGAAAGGGGTTTTCTAGAACGAGAAAAGAGAGCCTTGAACGAGAGTCTTGCATTGAGAAAGGAAACAGTCGACAAGGGGTTGGCAGACTAAGAGAAGACATCGTAAGGGATCATAACCAGGATCGAGTTACGCTGGAACGAGAACGCGAAACTTACAACAAGCACGTGAGGAGAGGAGCATGACGGCGGATCCGGAGAAACGGTCGGCAGATATGGAGGAGGAAAAGTCAACTCTCCAGAGAGCTCTGCGAACTCATCGAGCGCTTGAGAGAGACGTAGAAGAGATGAAGCTCGCTAGGTAAGATGGCGTTGAATATAGAGAGAGATGCGAACGCGAAGAACGTCGAGTCCCAATCCCGCATCGAGCACAATCAGATGGTGCAGTTGCAGTGCAAAGTTGCAACACCAAGACGCGGAGCTCGAGCACCTACAGGAAGGCAAAGAAGCTACCGGATAGCACAGTCCTGACGTATCGCACGGTGACCTATACGCCATCCTCTCCCATCATCGGCGCTCGCAAGAACCGCAGGAGCTTGCATTACTCGTTAGAAGAGTGGGCAGAGGATGATGGCGAAGATCTTGCCGGGATGCTCAAGAGGTTACCGACAAACCATGCACGAGCGGTCACTGAGGCGAGAATCGCAAAAGACCGCCAGAGCGTTCTTCAGCAAGCGAACAAAAACCATAGCCAGCGGCTCGCCAATGCGGAGACGCAGAACTCAATTGACCGAGTAGTCGTCGGGTCTGCGCTCTTGAAAGTGGAAGCTTGCGTCGATTCCGGAATCGGGATGTTGAGGCTTTTCTTCTTGAAGCAAGAGCTTCGTCGTGGTTCAGGAAGCCAGAGGGAGTCGTCCGCTTCGAAGGAGCGTGGGTCTTCAGCTATGCTGGTACAAGCTCGCTGGTCTGCCGCTTCCATGTGACGCTATGGCCATGGAGTGTATGTGAGTTGGGACGGGAATAAACGTGGAATATGCTAGCGGAACAGTCTGAGACATGCCATTGTACACGGTATCGTTCGTTCTACATATACTTCCCGTTCTAATGAAGACCGCGCTTCAAGACAAAGCCTCCCGGCCCTCCCGCCGCACGTTGTGACAACCTTGACCCCTTTGCCTCTACAACATATGACAAGCCAGGATCCTAACCGCGGCGAACCCTCCAGATCTTTCGCTCGCACTGCCAACATCCCAGTGTTCCGGGGGGGGCGGAATCGCACACGGGGCTAAAAGTCTCGTACGAAATACCAGCGCTGGGCCCACAGTCTCCAGTGCAGAGACCATGGCATGTGCAGCTGTCGATATGCAGGCGCGGGTGTTGATCCTCGGGACTACCGAATTGATATAGCGTTTCGATTGGTTTGGGGGACCGTGTTGTTGTGGTGGTGGTGGTGGTGATGGTCAGTGTCGAGGCCGATGAGAGTGGCTCAGGGCTACAGACGTCTTCCATCATCGCCGCCATCCTGTCGCTTAGCCACCACGAGGCCGCGTCTGACGTTTTGCGTCCCTGCATCGATGTTGTCATATGCCACCACAGGGCCCCCTTGAACCGTCGGGTCGGAGGAAGCGAGTATGTCGATATCCGAAAAATTGTTTTTTATAGATCTCGCATTGTATTTGGCATCGGTCATACGTTGGCAGGCCAGTACACCAGTCACCCCTGGCGCACCTGTCGCCATGATCAGATGAGTTCCGTTCTCTGCTTTTTCTGAGAGGATACTCATTGAAAGATGTCTCGGAGATTGTTAATGGGCCGCATGATGATCCCTGGTGCGTTCCATTGACGTTAGTGCTATTGCCAACTGCATCGTTTCTAAACCAATTCGCGGTGCTCTGATAACGCCAAGCGTTGCCCGCCGAATGCACGGCTCCTGTGACGACCACCCTGTTGTTCGTTCGCCCCAGTATTTGAGGATAAGTGGTGAGGTGTGTGCCATTGTTCCCGGCCGCCGTCATCACCAGAGCATCAAGTTGCGTGACTCCATTGACGGCTTCTGTCAAACTTTTGATCATCTTGTCCGTCACGGCCTACGTAGCGCCTTCGAATCCCCGAGACATGTTGATATAAGCCGTGCCTTGAAGTTTGTTGTCCTTGATATCCTTGCGGGTTTTTCCGTAGCGCATCTACTGATGCAGGCCACCTTCTTGGATCAACTGAAAAGTACGCGCTGTGTGGGGTAGTCCTGACCATACAATGTTGACCACCTTTGCAAGATCCGATGCTCTTTGACGCTATCTCGGTTGCAAATTCTACCGCATGCTCGTCGGAGGAGGTGTTTCCCTCAGGTTTCACATCTATACTGCCGTACGGGTCTGTGCTGGGAAATTCCTGGCTTTGTGTCAGCAACATGGATGAGCTAAGCTAAGGTTCGGAACCAACAGATCGTAGTATCGACTTCAATGAAGTCGAAGTTGAAAAGAGCGAATAAATTAGATAAACGGCCGTTCCAGTCCCTTGTCCGACGTTGTATGCATAGTCATCCAAGTTCGAAACGGGCTCCTGGGGTTCCAGCCCGTTGACCATTGGCATGATCAATTTGTTGCAAAAAGATCGCTAAGCTTGGATCTTCATTTAACTGCAGAACAACACCCGTGGTGTAGAGGCGGTATTGCTCTTGCTTCTACGGAAGCTCCCCCCCCCCCCACTTTGCCTGGCGTCCTTCATCAGCCTCGTCTAGCGAAGAGGCTCCACGCGCAGCCAAAGAGCTTTCCGTGTCATTTCCTCCCAAGTTTTGGAAGTAGAGCTTTGTGAATTCGGTGGGAGTTTGGGGGCTACAGGTTGCTTAAATTCACCCCGTGATTTCTCAAGTTCTGTACGTGCTCATTGTTTAAGTCTGCCAACCAAAACAAAATACCCACGTCCTTATCGACTGACACGTAGATAATAGATGGGTCAGCGAATTCATACAGAGAGCCATCGAAAGCGTCCTTGATTGCCGGGTATTTGGCACTATTCCGACAAAACGCAAAACTAGTAGGTATCGAGAACTCGCAGACGATGTGAAGAAACTGGAAGCGGTGGTGGCGGGCTGAGTCTTTGTAGTCGGTGTCTCTGAAGGTTCCGGGATTTCGCCCATCGACATCCACAGTCAGCTGATTCACTTGAATTTCGTCCTCGACGCCCTCTACATTCTTAGCACTCGTCCCCGGCCGCGGGTTGGCACACAGAAAGGAGAAAAGGCATCGAGAAAGCGATATATCCGGCGGCTCTGGAAGACGAGTGATGGTGATGGTGGTCCCTTTACGAATCTTGGGGTTAACTCCGGCAGGCGTGCAAGACAGACCAAGGCCCCAGCCTAACTGCCCCACCACCACGTGCGATAAGCTCGCCTTCTTGGTTGCAATTGATGGCGCCGACATTCGTTGGTAAAGATGTGGGGGCTGCTACGCTCTTGGTGCCGTTTTGAAGATTTTTCGAATGGACAAGAACACAAATTGAGTCATCGTCAGTGTACCATTGATGACAGCTTCAGCCGAGACAACGATAGATAATCCCAGCAAATTAGATGCCGTTGGGGTGGAAGACGCGTTAGTTGTTGTGTGAGTAATGAGCGTAATATTTTTAGGCGTAGATGGAGTTGCCGAAGCTGTGGTACGCTTGCTCCGCAGCTTTACCCAAACTTACAGTGGATGACATTCCAAAATTAGACGAGTTCGGAGCACCAAAGTGTGTAGTGACGGTGACGCTTTGGGACGTGAATGGAGTGGTCGAAGTTGTGGTACGCTTGGTCGCGGTTTTGCCTAAGATTATGGTAGATGATCCTCGGGAACCAGACGAGCTCGGAGAAGGAGTCTGTGGTTTCACATCACTATTGGGCTAACGCTTCGCAATTTTGAATGGCCTTGTTGAGGCCGAAGACGAGATTTGGACATCGTGGCCGCAGGACTCATTAGCGACAATTCCATTTCGAGATAAGGAAATTTGGTTGTCAATGGAGTGATGGTCTCGACGTGGCCGTTCTACCATATCATTACGTTCTCAAATCAATTGGACGGTTCTAGAATTAAATATGTCAAAGCATGGTGATCTTCATTGCTGAACATGACCAACGCAAAGCCGCAGAGCGCTAGAACTTCTTGGACTTACTTTTGAAGAACTCTCGGAGGATAAGGCGGTGATGTTGGCGCTGGTACCGGAGTCGACGGTTGGCATGATTCCCATTCCCATACTATCGGATGGCACATTGTAAGTAACAAGGCGTGGCCAATATGAAACTCACTCGATCGCTAACCCCAGCCATTAGATACTACCGTCTGTATTGTCTCTTGAACCCAATCATCTATGGTAGAGATCACGGTCAATGTCCCTGGGGTTCGTGGCGTATTGAGGTATCTGCGAAGCCACCAGAGTAAAAATGATCACATGGATGATTTTCCCCATAGCATAAGCTGTTGTAATCAACCGCGACGGACCTTCGTAAGTCGATAGTGAACCACTCGAAGCAATATAGATAACTGGAGCGGTGGTGGGTTGGCTTTGGCAAGAGCAGATTGAGCTCAGTGAAGCGGTCGCTGATGTAGACTGCCTCGACCGCATCGGAGACGAGTGTAACGTTGGAAGAACTGGAAAGCAGACAATGAGAAGAGGCGCACAGCATTCTCGCAGAGTAGGAGCCTACGTCGTGCATCCCTACTAGCGATGTCTGTCCTGCTTATAGCTGAGGCCAACATACCCCACGCCCTCCATCGGCAATTTTGCACGGTTGAACAAATGACGGGTTGCTAGGCATCTAGCATCTGCCTCAAAGCCTTGTTCTGCAAACAGGGAATAGATCCCAACACATTTCCGTTCTGATGTCAACCAGTCGATTTTTTCAATTTTAATTCAAGTAGAGAAAAGACAGGAAAAGCTTTGATTAGCAGCACAGTCAAGATCACCAATCCTACCAATGCTTTTCAATTTGAACTTCTTCTCCGTCCCAAATGCAGAGATGTTACTCTGTACTCCGTAGACGTAGGTAATTCTGGCATCAACTTGCTGGAAAGTCCGCCATGGGCCTGTAGAACGATTGGAACCTCTGAATCTACCTACAAAAGTGTAGCTTCGAGACGTCCCATCGATATGAGCGAGGCTTGCTGTCGTACTACTCCTTCGGGCCAATTGTCATGTTCAAATACAACCAACCTCGAGATCAGTCGAGGCGCTGCGCCGCTCACGGCTCAAATCCAGATGTTTACTCCCAAAGCACGTACCTATTCTCTGATACTGCCCTTGCACATACTACCGGGCTCCTTGCTTTATGTACGTGGCTTTCGCTCTCTCAACGAGCTCTTCGGGTGGTACTTATTGTTAAATTGATGACGACTAGAGTCTTCATTAGAGGGTGAGATACGAGATAGCCATGACCTGATTGGCTGGGTACATTAATGGATAGATTATGTAATCTAATCTACGTATCGCCCTCGCCGTCAGCCATCCACGTGATCAAACCTTCCCTCGTTTCCAATCTTCCCTTGAGTGCTCTCTTATTATCTTGATAGCAATGCAAACTCGACAGTATGTGAGCATCTTTCTACCACCGGAGATCTGTGTCATAGTAAACACCACCAACGCTCAACTTCCTACAACGTACTGTCCTTTGCAAACCAGAAGCACTCCGCATTGGCCCTCTACTACCAAACCCGCAGTCGTGATGGCGCGCCTTCGTCATCATTCCACCATCCCGCCATGCTCATGAAGGAAGCCAGGATGTCCCGGGATCTTCCCAGTGTTCTTGAACTCGGCCTCTGGGAACGAAGGACCTAAGCGGCGATCGCGACCCTCAGTCAGCTTGAGATACGTTCCACGAGCGAGCTTGGACATACCTAAGGTTGGATGGACAAGGATCGTTTCGTCGAAAATGTTAAAGGCGTGGTCTTCGGCCCACGCATCAATGCTCTCCCAGTTCTTACATTCGTGTTGGATGTCGAAGTTCGGCTTTGGTGCTCGATCGTTTGAAACCCAGTCGAAAGTCAGGAGGGAGACATCGGCTTTGCACACTATACACCATCTTCGTTAATTTCTTTCCTGCTGCTGGTTGGATATTTTGTGCGTACTGAGGTTTTGACGAAGATTATCAATGCAATGGTCTGCGTCTGCGTTAGACTTGGAGACCTTCAGAGCCAGCCCGACGGCTTACCAATGTGTATGGGATTTGTGGGCTTGTTGATACGGTAGTAGTCGTGATAGAGCATCTGTCGAAGGAATTTCTAATGCTGGTTAGCCAAGGCATCCATCTGCCATTATTCGTTACGGCTCACCAGGCAGTGTAGCTGGTGGTAGACATCTGTTAAGCCATATCATCAGCCACAGATCCACATTATGGCCCCTGTGTTGAGAATACAAGCTGATGCATGGCTCTCAAACTCACCAGGAATTGCGTAGTATCCTGACCCATCTCCAAGCGGGACCGAGGTACGATTGATCTTCTGAAGGTCGTCCGCAGAGACGCGCACGTTGGAGTTCACAAATAGTTGGTGCCATGCGTCGTCTAATTCTGGGCTGGGGGGGCCTTTGAATGGATTCTTCGATTTCAACGTAGCGTGGACCATCTTCTTCTCGGGGATAAGGGCTTCATTGAGCGGTGCTTGTCATAGGTCATGGAGGTCAGCCGAATGCTCACATCGTTTTCTGCGGATACACTGCCTTGGGTTTTGATGCTCACAAAAGACTAGGTTCATCCCGGGCGTGTTAGGACGAACGCTGTTGTATGATAGAAAGAGAAATCCCAATGTGTACACAAATATCAGAATGATGTGAAATGTGGGCATTGCGTAGGGCGAGCGGCAGTAGGTTCTGCGATTTCGCCCTTGAAATTCTTCCTGGTGACATTCATGCTTTAGAAGCCTCTCTTCATCATTTGTGTACCTCTCTTCAGATGAAGAGCGCCTGTTGCTTTTGAAATTATCCATTCGAGCGCTCTTTGGGCTTGCGGTTTGAATGTTTGCTCTCTGTGTGATGTTGTTAGAGGGCAAAGTCTGACTGGGCGGGTTTTTTGGAGGACTACCACCAAGATGAATGCCCCACTGTCCAATTTGAGCAGCTCAGACTCAGCTCTCTGGAATCGAGATACTCTCGGCTTTGCTCAAGATGGATTGGGGGGTCGTAATTGCTCGGTCGCTTACACTGTCGATCAATAATTGTGTTATTACTATGCAGCAGCAGTTCGACTAGCTGCGCAAATCCCCCACCTGGCAAAAGTGGGTCCTTATTTATACTCGAGCAGGCAATGATGTCCAGCATGCATTAGATCAAGGTCTTTCAGAATCTACTGTTTCGTGCGGGGCTGCCAAGCACCAACAGTGGGGCGGTGTGCAGCCAATGTGGAGGCCTCAAGAAGGTCCTGAAAAGGACATTCGCTCTCTCTGGCAGGTCGTCGCCTCTGATTGATCCGCGTTTTCCCCGTCAGGTTTCGATATGCACATCTCGGTTTCGTTTGTTGGAACACTCATCCCTCTTTCCCCTACGAATCCTTCCGGAGGACGACTAGATGCGGCATGACGCACTGTTAGTCTCTCGAACCTAGCTCTGAAGCAGGTATCAAAATCAAGAGACCCCTCGAGACGTGGAGACTTCATCAGACCCTGCTTAACACCGTTGAGTATAGCCAATCCAAATTTTAACGTCACGCGGACTCTCTAGCCAGCATTATCGAAATTTCTATATGCAACTAAGGTACCTCAGATACCTACGTTATACTGTCTGGATCGCACCTTGCCCACAGACTAAGTCGGATATGGCACGTCCCGTGGATTAGCGGCCGACTTCTGCACTATGACAAGCATCCTTTTCTTTTCATGCACAGTAGAAACGGAGATATTATTCTCGCATGAATCGATCACATGTCGACGTTGTCGTCGATTGAAATTACTAGCGTATACTCGTTTCATGCGGGGAAAAGGATTCCTTCGGAGAATTTTTAAGAGCGAGCGCGGGTGTAAGTCCTTAATTAATCCTCCCGACCGTGCGGCACGGATCTACCCAGCAATTGAACTGCTCACTGAGGGTACCATAATCGAGTTTGATTGGTGGGTACGTCCGTGCCGGACTGCCGAGAGAAAAGACTAGTTGCCCGCCCGAGTATAAAGATCTGACGTAAGCTGAGCTCGGTCCTTCATGAATCGATCAAGGTACATCTCGGCGTCGCCCCCAATTGAATTTGTTTACGTAAATTTTCCAAGGAATTCTGTTCGATGTCCGATGGAGATACCGATTTTATATTCAATAACACTTTTCAAGTATTCAGAAGCAACTTACCCAGCCAATCATCGTTTAGAACTCATTTGTGCGTGTAGTTTTGGTGGGGTATTAAGCGAGACAACACTGGCTCGTACGTGGTATCACTAGTAGCCGGACTTCTCCCACATAAGGCTAAGGTAGTGATCGACTGGCTGGTACTCCAAGCAGGGTCCTTGATCAGACCATCGATAGTGCGTGCTTGTTGCAGATGCAGGCGGAGTCCATGAGCGAGAGAGAAAAAGAGCTACATCGAAGCGTTCTGCTAGTTGGAGAAGCATTACCCTGCTTCTGCGATTCATGGAGTCCTCAAATCTCTGGTTTGGCGATTCATGAACTCTCTCACCTGCATCTGTGACGCAGTTGGGACCGACGAAGACCGCTGCACCCGTCTGGAACTAGCGGGTTGTTGAAGTATATATTGCAAGTGGATCGGCCGTCTGCTATACAACAGCAGCAGTCGGTCCAGGAAGCTTGGATATCACCTATCACTTCACTTCACTACCACTTCCAAATCCTCAAGTCTGATCCAACAACCATCTTCACATCCATCCCAAGTTCAACAGAATGCTCATCAAAGCTTCCCTCCTGGCCCTCTGGCTCGCCTCCCTGGCAGCCTCTGTTGTCATTCCAAGTCCATAAGCCTAGCCAACCCTCGTGTGATCGTCACCGACTGACCGACAGTCCAGATTCCACACATGATGTTGCTGCTTCCCACGAGGCCAAGACCCGAGGTGCCCGACGGTGATCTGTACGAGTACAAGAGCAAGAAAGACAAACGCGAGAACCCCGACGGCGACCTATACGAGTACAAGGCCAAACGCGAGGAGCCCGACGGTGATCTGTACGAGTACAAGAAAGACAAACGCGAGAACCCCGACGGCGACCTATACGAGTACAAGGCCAAACGCGAGGAGCCCGACGGTGACCTGTACGAGTACAAGAAGGCCAAACGCGACGACCCCGACGGTGACCTGTACGAGTACAAGAAGGCCAAACGCGAGGACCCCGACAGCGACCTGTACGAGTACAAAGCCAAACGCGAGAACCCCGACGGCGACCTCTACGAATACAAGCGTACTTCCAAAATCGACAAACGTGGCGACCTCTACAACCACTAAAGGCTTCGGCCTGTTCGAGATTCGGTGCGTGTGTGGTAAAACGCTCACGTAGGGTTTTTCATTGACATTGGACTATAGGTCGCCTCACCGCCAGCGCGTTTCTCGAATGCGGCTCGTAAGAAGGCTGGAAGACGTCATCATGATGGAAGGGGACGGGAAGCAGCATAGTCGGTGGATATTGTGGAAGCGTGGTTTGATCTTGTTTATTCGGAGATGTGCGGCCTCAGGGTAGTTAATCGCTCATTCACCTAACTGTTCAACTATCAGCCTTGCTAGCTCATAACTGGACTTTCTCTTGCACCATCTGCTGGATCCTTAACCGATTTGTGAAATTCGAGGAAGCACTTCCGGGATTCGTTTCCCTTGTAGAGTCCATTTACACGCCCAGCAAACCCCGCCCCGCCCCGTAGCTCGCTGCGAGCGTGTATGTAGAGCTGACTAGACGCCATGATGGGACAATCCCTTCCTCCTCCATCCCCAACGAGAACAAAACCACGAAAACGTATTCCATCCCACCATCCTCATCGCAAAATCCAAGGCTACTCTCCAAAACACAATCAGCCGAAACTTCCCTCCCCCTTCCCCCGTCACGTCATCGACCACGTATTCCCACCTCCCCAGTACCCCACCAGACGAGATTCCCGGCGACTCGATCGGAGAACCAAAACCCCGGGCCGAGTAATCTTAACTTAAACAACCGTGTCGCTATATTCCGACATCGTGACCACTGCCATTTTCCAAAGTAGCGACCCCACAAGCATCGAGCCGATCGCATAAACACCTTTAAGGCCGACGCCGTAGCACGGTGTTGAGATCTATCTCGGTCGCTGCTGCTGAAAAACTAAAACTTTGAGAAGGGAGTTCGATCATGGCCTCTGGCTCAGCTTTCGTTCCTTCGGCTCCTGCGCTGTGCGTTGGGGGGTCCATGATAGAGGAGCGGTTTTCGAAGGAAGGGGGGAAGTGTATAGTGCCGCTGTTGGAAGCAGGATTTTGTTGCGTGCAGATGCTCACGGTTCGCGAATTGAAATCTTTCTTTGGTGGTCGGGTTTTCGGTGTACCTAAAGTCAGTTTACTAAGTTATACCATGACATTCTCATTAGACGCTAATATTTCAACGGCAAAGTTCTCTATAGCATCAGTTGAAAACACGTATACAAGTGGGTAAAGATGGCCACAGAACTTCCTCTGCTCGAAACGCTGGTAGCGCCAATCGTTGTGCCGAAACTACTAGTTCTAGACATGCGATGGCAAGTCACACCAGATCTATCTGCTGCATAGGACTCTGCGCAGCCGCAACTGCTTCGCCATCCATGATTCCGTGGATGTAACATGTTCCAATGACCTCATACGCGTTGCCTTTCGGTCGTAGGAGGACAGGCACGAAACAACCATAGAGCACGCTTATTATATCACCTTCCTTTCCAGCTTTGGGAATCCATCCCATGCGACCGCTTTCCGACATGCAAAAGCGGCGTTCTCTAGCTATGTCAATCACCTTTGTTTCTACATTGGTAACACGGACCAGGTCATAGCCATCCCAAGTTGAATCAGATTCTAATTCAGGATCGAACTGCTGCATGAACTCCCAGTAGCTGTTGAAATCGTTTTCATGATGTTGACGTAGTCTGCAGTTGTCTGTCCAATTTCCCCCGAGCAGAGTCCGCCAGAATGCCTGTTTGCGTATAGGTTCGGGAGCCTTCCAGCACGGCATACTTGTCAATTGTAATGCTTCTCGGAGTACATGAAGCTGGTCCATAGCACCTTCTGCTAGAAATTTGTGCAAATCGCCAATCCTAACTGTGACTTCCAGGCTACGGCTCGCTGATCTTGCAATCTTTTCCAATAGTAGTCCTGGGGCTGACAATGTATTATTTCGCACAGAGAGCCTTTTGGACTCATCGTAAGGACCGCAGGCTTCGAAGGGATCCTCCACAGTTTCAACCATGCTAGGAATGTCTTTTGAACGCGCGAGATTTGGCACCCAGGATGGTGTTCCCAATGCGTCTTCCGAATAAACGCATAGAGATAGCACGTTTAAAGCTTCGTATTCAGCGATCCAAGCGACCGTGAAATCTTGGTATACTTTGCCTACTGCGATACGGTAGTCTGGCTGATATGGTAAGAGGGCACTATCACTAGCGATGGCAATGAGGCTGTAGAGTTTATCTCGACGATCTGTGGCCTGACGTGATCGAGTCATTGCGGCGAGTTGAAGCAGGGTAGTGGGTCTATTGCGAAATTGTTTTATAACGGTGACCTGACCCATCGCTAGATGAGATGACATGTTTGAGAGCCGGAATCCAATGCCGAAGTCAAGCACTAGTTTAACGAAATTCGCCACGTCTTCGTAAGGGATAGTTCGGTCACCAGCAAAAATTGTTGCCTCAGAAGCACAAAGGACTTCCTGAAACGTCCAAGCTCGTCGGAACCAACTGTTACCGAAAAAAAGATTTAAAGAAGACAAGACCTCGTCTGTAAGTTTAGAATATAAGTCTTTGATGAGACTCCTCACAGCATGGGGATCACCAAGTACAGGGCCAGGCGGATATTCGAATTTCTCAAGGGCGTACGAAATGTAGTCAAAAGCTGCACCGTACAAGTCGCCATCCTCTCCCAGCCAGATAAATAGTCGTAAGCTTTCAGAGTAAATCTTCCGCATCAGTAAGACCTGCTGGGACCGTTCATCGAGATCGTCTTGGTTGATGCATATGGCATCAGCCCACACAGTCATGGGTTGATCCACTTGTCGGATTGTTTGCAGGGCGGCATGAAGGTTCTCGGTCACGTATAGTATACCACTGATATTGTCCGGGCCTGTACAGGAAACCTTGCATGGAAATTTTGCGTCTCCCCAGACGTACGAGATTGTTGTATAGATTGTACCATCACCCGGTTGCACTTCTCGCAGGGTGCAGTGCATATCGCTCCCGTAGGTACCAGGTTCAACAGCCAAGACCCTGTTAGTGCTCGCAAACAGTGAGGCCATACAGAAACAACGCATGCACAAGTAGATATGTAGATATATGATTGGGCATATCCAACACTGGGGCAGCTAAGAGCTTTTTGGACATCTGGACTGAGCAGATAGCCCGAAAAAGGCCCCAGCGCTAGAAAAACTCCCATGTCTGAGCGACATGCCCTGGAGTGAAATGAAGCTATACATAGGTGTGGGTGGGAGGGAGAACAATAATATGGCTCTGAAGAGAACAATTCGAATGAAGAGCCCACTCCTTGTGCCCGGCATACAAATAGTACTCGCCATGCCCACCTGTCTCCCTAATATCGCATATCGCATAGTCGCATAATGATGAAACGGCTGATCAAACAGCCACCAACGCTATGGCCTCATAATGGACCCACTAACCCACAGTCCAACTGTTAGTATTAGAAGGCGATTCGAGAGGCTTGTATACATACTTCCTGCTTGCAGCAAGAGACTGGTCCTGCATTGCTCGTCCCGAAGCATTAATTGCCTAAAGGCTGACGGGTTGAAACTCAAAGGTTATGACCAACAGCGCCTTGATGACACGTGCACGCGTTCTGTGATCCATGTTGGTGTGGTCGAAGAAAGGAAACGGCTGCCACCTCTAAACAAAGACGCCAGTCATACCGCGGCCACGCATACGGTATGATGGAAAGGTGAAGACTTACAGCAAGGCGAGAGATAAGCTAATCGGAGCTAGAATGATAGCTCCGGAGCCAGCCACTCATCCAATCGGCTTTTGGGACAACCTGGCTAAATCCGGCAGCCAATTCCCAGATTAAAATCGAGAATATGCTTCATACTTATCATTGAAGGTACCATGCACAATACGTCGCCCCACCTATGACATAGGGGCGGATACTAGAACTGATGATGTTCTTTGTAACACTTACCCTTTATACGCCCGGCCTCTCATATTTCTACAAAGGTCTGTAGTGCCTTCTCTGTCGGTCGCCACCTGCAAGGAATCTCTTGCAAAATCTCACCCAAACCCGGACCGGAGTGATAACACCTCCCTAGCTGTTACGAGCGTACCCTACATCTCCCTTAACACACCATCCAGCCCTATTGCCTATTAGAGTCTAGCGTATCTTAATAAAGACATCTATTACTACTTAATATCTTCTATCTATATAGTTATTCGATATCTAATTAACTTATTTAATATATCTATATCTATATTATATTTATATCGATTCTAATACTATAATTAAATTATCTTATTAATATATATAATAGAATAAGATAGAGCTAAGCTTAAAAATCTTAAATTTATATATATAGTTAATTATAAATTTATTAGATCTACGCTTTTTAATTAGATCGACTAAGTTATCGTAAATAAATAAATTAGTATTCGCAACTATTAAAATCTCTTACTCTACTTTTAACTCTTTAATAACTTTACTATTTTCTATTAAAATTTTAAGATTTTTTTTTTAAATTATAGAGCGAAGATTACGCTTTTTAATAATCTAAAAATTATAATATTTAATCTTATAATTATTAAAAGATAAGAATCTTAAATCTTACTTATTAAAGTTCTTTTTGCTTATTAAAGTTCGCTTATTAAAGTTTACTCGACAGTTCTAATTAAAAAATAGATATATATTATTTAATTTTAGAATAACTTTTTTATTTTCTATTAAAATTTTAATTTTTTTTTTTTAAATTTTAGAATATAATATAAGCTTTTAGAAAAAAAATAAACTATTAAATTTAATCTTATAAATATTTTAAAATAAAGAGTTTTAATATCGCTTATTAAAAACTTATATACTCTTTTAAGAATACTCTTTAATATAAGCTTAGATAGTCGAGTGATAATAATTTTAATAATTTTCGAAATTATTTCTCTTCGTCCTCGATTCGAATTCATAAATCTTTCTCTCTAAAAAATCGTAAAATCGTAAAATCGTAAAAATCGTAAAACTAATAAAAAGTATAAAAATTATAAAAATAAAAATATTAATAATTAATATAAGTAAACTATAATAGATATTAAAATTAACTTCTTATTAATTAAATCTAAATTAATTTAAAATTAATTAACTCTCTAGAAATCTATTATAAATATATCTTCTCTTTTTTCTATTTTAAATTTTACTTTATTTTTTTTTTCAATTATAGAACTTATTTTACGCTTTCTAATAATTTAAGATTTATAAAATTCGATCTTATAGTTCTAAGTAAATCTTAAATTAAAGTATTTTTACTCTTTAAGAGTCGAATTTAATCTCGAAATTAGATTTAAAAATTAATTACTTTTTATAAATTTAATTTATAAGTTTAAACTTATTTATAATAGTTAAATAGTATATTTATAATAGTTAAATAAAGATTAATATATATAAATTTAATTATAAAAAAAAGAATAATAATATAGCTTTAAAAGAGAATAATTTAAATAAAGAATTTGTTATTAGTATAGTAACTATATAAATAGTACTCGCTATAAATATCTATCTCTCTATTATTATATATCGCATATTGATGGAACGATTAATTAAATAATTACACAAACTATAGCCTCATAATGGACCCACTAACCCACAGTTCCACTGTTGCGAATTGTTACGCTGTATGCGTCTTTGTCTGACAGACGCAAATATCCCCGACCACGGGGCCGGCATATCATGTCTGACGTGGATGATGTGGCAGAAGTTGGTCCATGCTTCCTTGACACAGAACCAGAGATTTACCCTATGCAGTGCCCTGGAACGCAGTGCCTATTCTGCTTGGGAGATGATAAGCTGGCGGCGGACACACGAACTCGATGTTTTGCAAAGCCATTCACCCTATCTCGGCATGTGCACACTCAACATCTCAAATACCTTCCGGAAGGCAAATTATTCACCTGCCCGCACCCTGCATGCTCATTGCATTCCGTTCAACTTACAAATCACAGCCACTTCAAATCCCATGCCTTGCAGGACCATAACATCGTCCATACTATCTCCGCTGGCATTCTCAGGATGAGCCTCAAGAGCTAGGGGAGTCCGGATTCGGTATTGTCCCTGTTCATCAACAATGAGCAAGTTGAGGACAGAGTTAAACAAATCAAACAGTCTCATTCGCATCTGGTACGGCCGGCAGGGGACAGCTTGTAGCGAGCAACTGAGCTTGGCAAAACGGAAGTGGTTGACTTGCTACTTTGACGCGGTGCTGTCCCAGCTATCAGTGACTGTCAAGGTTGTCTCCCTGTGGAAGTCGCAGAGCAACATAGCCACCATGAGGTTTTAAAGTGCCTGAGACAAGCTCGCTAACAATCGTGGCAATTCATCAATGAGATTGATGGGTAGGTGGAACATGGCTTTAGCTTCTACAACAATGTATGACATCAGGTCATGGGTGGGCGTTGACTGCGCATTACAATGTCCATGAAACTGCAGCTGTACAAGCACGCATATTGGTCGAAGATCTGTGATAGCAACCTTATGTTGAGGATATTGCTATATTGGAATTATACCAGTGATTGTGATGCAGCAGCGGTGGTGCAGGTGTAGGCGAAAAGGGAGAAGAGGTAGATTGTGTGAAATGCTCAATTGTGTCCTCCTGACATACTCTCTACTCAATGTGATCTTGAAGTGACAGTAACAAAGTAGTATGTATTGGTCTTTCGTCAACACTCTTATATGGGGCACGGTAAATGTAGTCTTCACCACAGCTATCTATTTTTCAGGATAAAACAGCTTCGTAGCACCCGAGGCTGTATAGTTTCCCTGGAAGCATGCATATTAGACAACGTGACATGTGTGATAGGAATGTTTGTGATCAAGGGCCTCTCAAGACTGTCGCTTGTCGCATTCCGACGGCCAATCCAAGCTTTCGGGTACTCCATCCTTTTCTGTTTGCCAGACCCTCTGATCTGCCTTGATGAGTCCCGCTAAAAACGACTCATTTGGCCCCGAATGTAGAGAATGAAGCTTCGTACTTGGATGCTTCCTCCTCGATAAGCGATGCGTGTCCGGCACTGCGAACGGTGGGCTTCACAGGGAATGGCTCATTGAGGGTTTGGTGATTGAGTCTCTCGTCGTCGATTGGACCGTTCTAGAGACGTCTCATATGTTAGTGACTCGTTATTCTGAACCAAAGATGAGGAATAGAAAGGCAAACGTGTAACGAACCGGACTCAATTCGAAACAATAAAGCAAACGGGCATATGCAATGAACAGAGCTTGCTCCGCAACTTTCGAGCCGACGCAGATTCGACGGCCGCCTCCAAACCCCCAGAAGTTGGGTGTCTTATCGGCTCCTGAACTGTCAATCCATCTCTCGGGCTGGAATTCATGGGCATTGTCAAACTCGCTCGACAGCCCGATTGAGTTGATCAGGAAGCTTGTGCCGGCAGGGATAAAGTGCCCATCAAACTCCAGGTGCTCGGTGAGTTGGTGGGGTGGAACAATGGGGACGGTCGGTCGCCAGCGTAGAACCTCTTTGATCATGGCGGCTACGTAGGGCATGGCCGACAGATCAGACATCCGGGGAAGCCGGAGCGATTCACCATCCGTGCACACTCGATCGACTTCCTCGCGTGCCCACGACTGGGCTTCGGGGCGCGTGACCATGGCCATGATGAACACGTTCATCGTCATGCGGGTGTTGTCACCGCCGGCTGCCATTACAGACGTAGCCAGGTACATGGCCTCTTCATCATCTCCAGAAAACTTCACATCTGGATGAAGAAGAACGTCGCGGACGAATGAGGGCGGCGCCGAGCCGTTACTCACGGCGGTTTTGATGGGCTTCCACCATTCCTGGAAGACACGGCGGTGGAAGGAGCCCATCTGAGCCCAGAAACGCCGCCAAGGCTGTAGGAAATGGGGGAGCTTGCTGACCGAAGGGAAGAAATCCACGTAGCTCCGGTTGATGGTCGTGACAAACTCGATCGTTACCCTCTGATAGTCGTCGAGCTGCGCTCTGGTCTTGTTGAGGGGGTAGCCCATCACGATCCGGTAAAGCACGGATGTGGCATAGCGATAGTTGTGAGCAAACCACAAGTTGGGCTCCCGAAGATATCGGCGCAGCATGTCCACGCTCTCGAGCTCCTGCATGCCAGCGTAGACCTGGAGATTCGAGCCGCTGAGCAACTGATGCATCACACGGCGTCCCTCTCGCCATTGTTCTTCTTGTCGTATCACTGTGCGCTTTCCGTTGCTCACAAGATCACTCGCGACGGGCATATGGGGTCTCTCGTTGGTAATCTTCCCTCGCTTGGCTATGATTTCCGAGACGACGCGGTCCGAGTTGAGCACAACCCACGTCTTGGATCCCATTCGCAGCGTCACCATTTCACCGTACGATATCAAGGAGGCCAGCTGCCGAATGTTTAGACCAAGGCGCATTCTCCTGTTGGACAGGTTTGAGACTCACCCACTTATTGAATGAAAGGGCTCCGCGGCGGGCTTGCATCATCTGTGGCAAGTTTCCCAAGACCGGTACGCCCGGTGGCCCTGGTGGCATTGCCCATCTTTTTGTGCCAGGCGACCATTTCAAGTCGGTAGGTTTTAAGAACTGAACGAGCGCTACGCAGCTGCTGCATAGCAAGAGAAAGAGACCCAAATAGGG